GTGTTTCTCTATTTTTCATCATTTTTCATTGTTGTTTCCTCTGTTTTTTAAAATGTTTCATTGTTTTTCCTTTGTTTTTCATCATTTTTGATTGTTGTTTCTCTATTTTTCATCATGTTTCCTGGTTTTGTCTCCTTTTTTCATCATGTTTCAAGTTTTTTCCCACTCTTTATCATCATTTTTTCTTGTTTTTTTCTTTTTTTTTCATCATTGTTCATTGTGTTTTTTCCTTCTTTTTCATCCTTTTTGATTGTTTTTTTTCTCTGCTTCATCATTTTTCATTGTTTTGTTTCTATTTTTCATCATTTTTCACTGTTTTTTCCATATTTTTAATCGGATTTCATTGTTTTTTCTCTCGTCTTCATCAGTTTTCATTGTTTTTCCCTCAATTTTTCATCATGTTTCCTCATTTTTCCACTATTTTTCATCATTGTTCATTGTTTTTTCCTCTCTTTTTTATCATTTTTCATTGTTTTTTCTCCCTTTTTCAAAATTTTTCATTTGTGTTTCTCTATTTTTCATCATGTTTCATTGTGTTTTTTTTTTCTCTGCTGCATCATTTTTCATTGTTTTGTCTCTATTTTTCATCATTTTTCACTTTTTTTTTCATATGTTTACTCGGATTTCATTGTTTTTTCTCTTTTTCACCATTTTTCATTGTTTTTTCTCTCTTTTTCATCATGTTTCATTGTTTGTTCTCTCTTTTTCATAATGTGTTCTTGTTTTTGTTCTCTCTTGTTCATCATTTTTCATTGGTTTTTTCCCTCTTTTTCATCATTTTTCCTGTTTTTTTTCTATCTGTTTCATCTTTTTTCATTGTTTTTTTTCATTATTTTTTATTGTTTTTCAATGTTTTTCAATTGTTTAATGTTATTTTTGAGCTTTTGATAAGGCTCAAAAATACGAAAACGGACAAGATAGAATATTTTCGAGACCCTGGCGTGACATGGCTCCAAATTATATATTTGGAAGCCTTCCATTGCGTGGATTTTTTTCCGTATGTTTCATTGTTTTTGCTGTATTTTTCATATTCCTGGCGTATCAGATAAAACCAACAATTTTGCTAGGTAAATCCCAAAATATTCAGACTTGTTTCCACCACGTTTTGCGTTAAAACCGCAAATTGAGGGTGTGAGGTGCGACCACGCGGTGGGCCGGCAACAGCTGTGAATTGCGGGGAGGCATGGCACCAACTGACTTAAACCCAATAAAACCTATAGAACCGCTATATATATATATATATATGCACATAAGTATTGTGAAAATCAACATAAGAGCATTTCCACACACACAATGGAAAAAATCCAAGTAATTTGGAGCCATGTCACTCTAGGGTCTCGAAAATATTCTATCTTGTCCGTTTTCATATTTTTGAGCCTTATCAAAGCTCAAAGCATAACATTAAACAATTGAAAAACAAAGAAAAACAATGAAAAATAATGAAAAAAAGTGAAAACCAATGAAATAAAAATGAAAAATACAACAAAAACAATGAAACATACGGAAAAAAATCCACGCAATGGAAGGCTTCCAAATATATAATTTGGAGCCATGTCACGCCAGGGTCTCGAAAATATTCTATCTTGTCCGTTTTCATATTTTTGAGCCTTATCAAAAGTCCAAAAATAACATTAAACAATTGAAAAACATTGAAAAACAATAAAAAATAATGAAAAAAAACAATGAACAATGATGAAACAAATAGAAAAAAAACAAGGAAAAATGATGAAAAAGAGAGAAAAAACAAATGAACAATGATGAACAAGAGAGAAAAAAACAAGGAAACATTCTGAAAAAGAGAGAACAACAATGAAACATGATGAAAAAGAGAGAAAAAACAATGAAAAATGATGAAAAGTAGAGAAACAACAATGAAAAATGATGAAAAAGAGAGAAACAACAATGAAAAATGATGAAAAAGAGAGGAAAAAACAATGAACACTGATGAAAAAGATAGGACAAAACAATGCAAAATGTTGAAAAATAGGGAAAAAAGGAACCATGATGAAAAATAGAGGAAAAACCAATGAAAAATGATGAACAAGAGAGAAAAACAAGAAGAAAACATGATTAAAAACAGTGAAAACAACAATGAAACATGATGAAAAAGAGAGAAAAAACAAGGGAGCATGATGAACAATACATGAAAAAACAATGAAAAATGATGAACAAAAGAGAAAAAAAACAAGAAAGCATGATGAACAAGAGTGAAAAAAACAATGAACCATGATGAAAAAGAGAGGAAAAACAATGAAACATGATGAAAAAGAGATTAAAAAACAATGAGACATGATGAAAAAGAGAAGAAAAACAATTAACAATGATGAAAAAGAGAGAACAAACAATGAAACATGATGAAAAAGAGAGAAAAAACAATGAACAATGATGAAAAAGAGAGGGAAAACAATGAACAATGATGAAAAATAGAGAAACAACAATGAAAAATAATGAAACATAGAAAAACAACAATGAAACACACAATGAAAAAATATGAAAAAACAGAAACAAGAATGAACAGTTATGAAAAAGAGAGGAAAAAACAATGAGAAATGATGAAAAAGAGAGGAAAAAACAATGAAACATGATGAAAAATAGAGAAGCAAAATGAAAAGTGATGAAAAATAGAGAGCCAACAATGAAAAATGATGGAAAACGTCATTGTTTTTTCTCTATTATTTTTTATTGGTATTTGTGTTTCTTTATTTTTCATCATTTTTCATTGTTTTTTTCTTCAATTTTTCATCATGGTTCATTGTTGTTTCTCTATGTTTCATCATTTTTCATTGTTTTTTTATTTTTTTCATAATTTTTCATTGTTTTTTCTCCCTTTTTCATCATTCTTCATTGTTGTTTCGTTTTTTTTCATCATATTCTATTTTTTTCTATGTTTCATCATGTTTCCTTGTTTGTGTTCCCGCTGTTTTTTTTCATCATTTTTCACGGTTTTTTCCATATGTTTAATCGGTGTTCATTGTTTTTTCCCTCTTGTTCATCATTTTTCATTGTTGTTTTCTCTTTTTTCCATCATTTTTCATTGTTTTTGTTTTATATTTTTCATTATTGTTCATTGTTTTTCAATTGTTTAATGTTATTCTTTGAGCTTTGATAAGGCTCAAAAATACGAAAACGGACAAGATAGAATATTTTGGAGACCCTGGCGTGACATGGTTCCAAATTATATATATATGTGGAAACATTCCATTGCGTGGAAAGGTTTGTGTGCTGATTTCCAAGATACGTGTATATATATATATTATTTAGAGAGATATAGATATATAACCGTGGCAGGAGGGAGTCCACTTGGCATGTTGGCTTAGCTGATTTGTAAAAAGAGGTTTTCGCAGCTTTACTGGGATTTACTGGGATTTCCCCCCAATTCCATAATTATCTATACTGACCGGCGAAAAGATCGAATATTCTATCTTGTGATTATTTTAATTTCAGAATATTCTATCTTGTGGGTGCTAGACCCTGTGTTTTTTGATATTCTATCTTGTCCCGACTAAGAGTACAATATTCTATCTTTCAGGCGGTCGGTATAAACATACACAACATATCGGGGTTCCATACTTATGATTGCTAATGTGTGTGTGTGTGGCCATGATGGGGGTTATGTATGAAGGTTTCCTAAACTTCATCGGGGTACGGTACCCCCAAATCATCCAGTCGTCATGGATGACCGTGACTTGGGGATCCCACATATCCGAACTCTGTACCGTATCTACCCATAAAGCCAATCACAGCACCCACCAAGTCTGGGAAGTGTCCACCCACCAAAATCTTGGACGTTTGCGGGGAGCCTGGCAGACACAAATTTCAGATGTCTATCGTGGCAAATATTAGATAATCAGTTACCCCGCATTTTTGGCTGGGGATTTCATAAGATATGTTTTACGGTGGCGTGTACATATATATATATATAGTAATAATAATAATAATAGTATAATATATTATTAATTAGTATTATATTAAAATATAATATAATATGATATAATATAGTATGATATGATATAATATAATATAATATAGTATAATATAATATATATATAATCCATGTTCAATCCAAAAACCATCGGATTTTCGCATGGCAGCCTCTTTCTTCCACCTTCCTCTTCTTGGTGCTACTCGCCTCAGCAAGGGGGCGAGTAGAATCTGCCTATCGATTTCCAGTCAGAATGGAAACGAGTGTGGGCCAAAGCCCTGGTACCCTCTGGTAAATTAACATAGCTATTGAACATGGCCCATTTATAGTGAGTTTTCCCATTAAAAATGGTGATTTTCCATAGTTATGTTAAATTACCAGAGGGTACATCCTGGTACCCTGATGTTCTCCATCGACCATTTTCCCCAAACATGTCCTGCAAAAAAACCCGTTGCGATCCTGTGGGCAAATACAAAAAGGAACCCATCCGCATCCCGCATCCATACCAAATATTACCGCAAATTTCAGGATCCCAAAATGAATATATTCAATACTACAGGGGTTTGATGTGGCATCTATTATTTGGGGAATGGAATTATTCTCATGTTCACTGCATAAAATCTGAATTAACTCTCAAAAATGTGTTGTGCACCCGCCTATCCTAGGTGTTCAGATTACGGGATTCAAAATAGATGCTATCATGTTATCACATGATATCACATGATATTCAACATTAGGGTAAAAGGATGTAAAAGGGCGTGCCACTGATTTTTCATTGTTGTCTTCAGAGCCCAATTTGGTGCCAAGGCCAGATTTCAGCCAGGCACCATCACTCCCCTGCGCCTTTTGGCGTGGGGCTCATGTCACTGGACATCGCAAGGGTTGGACATCGCACAGCAGGAAGCACAGCAGGAAGCTGTATAGATCCTGTATTCAACAACATGAAACACATTGAAACACCATTTTATATGTCATTATGTTATTTTATGTCATTTTTCCAAGTTCAGAAACTCATCTTCCAGAGGTTTCCAAGCCTTTTTTGGTCGCTAAACTTCCAGGGGTTTATCGATGGCTTCTGTCATCCCAGATCCGGCGCATCAGTCTCTGGACCACCTGCCATGGCATGTCTGAACGGATCGATTGCGGTTCCTCCCAATATGTGGTAAACCCAACCATAATGGATGATATATGGTGATTAATGGATGATATATGGATGATATATGGATGATATATGGATGATATATGGTGATTAATGGTGATTAATGGTGATTAATGGTGATTAATGGTGATTAATGGTGATTAATGGTGATTAATGGTGATTAATGGTGATTAATGGTGATTAATGGTGATTAATGGTCATAATGAATCACTTTTCTGGTTGGTGGTTTTTCGCCACCCCTCTGAAAAATATGAAAGTCAGATGGGAGGATTATCCCATATATGAAATGGAAAATAAACAATGTTCCAAACCACCAACCATCAAGTTGTCCCATTTGCGGATGCCTACCAATATATACCAATATTACCAATCATACTAGCCACTGTAACAGTGTATGGTAAGCAATGTTTTTTATTGTTTCGAGTCTTTTTCGTTGACTACGCTGCACCAAAGCCATGCATGTTCCTAAACGGCCTTGGGTCATCCGTGTGCTCATGTTTCGTCCCCAAAGAGGATATACTACCCATGCACGGTTGCCTCACGGATCATGCATGATACCCTGCTCTTTACAAGACTTTCCACAAAGAACGCTTGACTAGCTAGCACATCGGGGGTGTCAAAACCTATTCATAGATAAATCATACCCTCTGGTAAACTAACATAACTATGGGAAAAAACAATGTTCAATGGGTAAATCAACGAACTAAATGGGCCATTTTCAATAGCAAACTGTTAGTTTACCAGAGGGTACATCCCCCAAATCACTATTTTTATAGGTGGTATCTTTACCATTCCCAGTCATGGGTGGTTTATGGCATTGTTTTACCCACATTAATCATACATCATATTTTGTGGGATGAAGCTCATGAACGTACAATCCGACCGGACGGACCTTCAGCAACCTCGTGGCTTGCATCAAGCTCCTCAGGCGCCTCGGTTCAAAAGCTGATGCACCTCCCATCAGATAGAAACCCATGAAACTGGTACGAAAATGGTATGAAAATGGTGGGAAAATATATGAAAATATATGAAAATATATGGAAAAAATATGAAAATATATCAAAATGGTATGACAAAGTTAATTACACACATCACTGGTTTTTCAGAGAATGATTTGACGAATTTCTATCCACCGGGAGTGGCGATAGTGGTGATCCCGCCATCAAATGGGGAGAGCACTTTGATATGTTTTGATAGAGACAGGACCCTGAACAAAATGGGGAGATTAAAGCGATTCACATATCCACTTTTTGGTAGTTGAGCCACCAACCAGAGAATACGAGCTTTATTTCTGACCATCATCCCATTTATATCCCTATTAAGCCATATCAGACCATACTAAACTCCCATCATTAAACCATCATTTTCCATAATTTCCCACATTAAGCCATACTAAACTACCATGAAACCATCATACTTCCTCCCATCAACGCAGGCAGATCCCCCCAGTGTGAATGCCAGGAACTGACTTCTCCCGAGCAGACAGCGGCTGCAGCAGCAGCCGAGGAGTAAGGTGCCTGGGGGCATTTCTACTCGTAAATCCATTGGGATGTCTACCAGTTATTAATAGTTTTTACCAGGTACCAAAGAAGATCGGTTCCAGATTGACACAGATCTAGTAACCTCCAACATGGCACAGTTTCCAAAAGAAGATCTAGTAACCTCCAACATGGGACAGTTTCCAAAAGAAGATCGGTTCCAGATTGACACAGATCTAGTAACCTCCAACATGGGACAGTTTCCAAAAGAAGATCGGTTCCAGATTGACACAGATCTAGTAACCTCCAACATGGACAGTTTCCAAAAGAAGATCGGTTCCAGATTGACACAGATCTAGTAACCTCCAACATGGGACAGTTTCCAAAAGAAGATCGGTTCCAGATTGACACAGATCTAGTAACCTCCAACATGGGACAGTTTCCAAAAGAAGATCGGTTCCAGATTGACATAGATCTAGTAACCTCCAACATGGGACAGTTTCCAAAACAAGATCGGTTCTAGATTGACACAGATCTAGTAACCGCAACCTCCAACATGGGACAGTTTCCAAAACAAGATCGGTTCTAGATTGACACAGATCTAGTAACCGCAACCTCCAACATGGGACAGTTTCCAAAACAAGATCGGTTCTAGATTGACACAGATCTAGTAACCGCAACCTCCAACATGGGACAGTTTCCAAAATAAGATCGGTTCCAGATTGACACAGATCTAGTAACCGCAACCTCCAACATGGGACAGTTTCCAAAACAAGATCGGTTCCAGATTGACACAGATCTAGTAACCGCAACCTCCAACATGGGACAGTTTCCAAAACAAGATCGGGGACACAGATCTAGTAACCGCAACCTCCAACATGGGACAGTTAGTCCAAAACAATCGGTTCGGTTCCAGATTGACACAGATCTAGTAACCGCAACCTCCAACATGGGACAGTTTCCAAAACAAGATCGGTTCCAGATTGACACAGATCTAGTAACCGCAACCTCCAACATGGGACAGTTTCCAAAACAAGATCGGTTCCAGATAGACACAGATCTAGTAACCGCAACCTCCAACATGGGACAGTTTCCAAAACAAGATCGGTTCCAGATTGACACAGATCTAGTAACCGCAACCTCTAACATGGGCGCTGGAAGGGTTTCATGGAGACCAGAGTAGTCGTTTTTTCGTCCAGCTGCACTCTATGGTGCCTCAGTGAATGACCCCTTTTCTGAGATGACCAGAGATGATTGGCCGTTGGCGTTTCCAAAATCTTCCACCAGATCAACCCAAGAGACATACCATTCACCTCCCGATTGGATGTCGCCCCTATTTAAGATCAACTCCACTTTCCCTACTGTCACTGTCACTACCCCTATCTCCCATTCTATCCGATAGATCCTATATTCGTCATCCTATCATCTCCCTATTTTCATCCCGCACATCCCCAAAAACGTCTTTAAAATCAAAAAAAAAAATCCTGATGAATCCCACAAAATCCCTATAAAAACCTTATCAAATCCCTATAAAATCCCCATGGAAATATCCATTTTCCAATGGCCCCCCCGCCTGAAGGGATCCTTGGGCCTCAAAATCCTCGGCGGCGCCTCCGCCAAGCGCCGCGCGCCCACGCGCAACGCCTGGGCCTACCGAAATTTTGTTGCCGGGACCTGAAAAGGTTGGGAAAAACTGAAAAAAAAAAAAAACACCTAGGACCTAGACTTGATGGTTTACATGGATTTTTTTTGGAAAATAACGTGGTTTTTGAGGATCCGGTGCAAGTCCATAGCCTCTGATGTGGTTTTTACCAAACTTAAAATTAGCAATTTATGGTTTGAACCATCCCCAAATCTTAGGTTGATGGCATTGGGTTTACCACATGATGTATATCACTCGGGCGGCTACAGCCTTGGTGGTCCTGATGCGATGTTTGCCACCAGGAGCCTCCAACGCCTCGGCTGAAAAAATCTGGGGACCCTGGGGACCCTGGGGACCCTGGAATTCAGCAGGTTGCTATGGAAAATCACCATGAATCACTAGGTAAACTACAGTAAATCATCACAAAAAATCATGGCAATTGTCCATAGCTAGCTTGAAATATTTGAAATGACCAGAGGGTAGCTGATTATGGATGATGCGTCGTGGATAAACTGGTTATATCACTGATCTCATCATCCATCATCCATGCCTGACTGGGACGTGAGGATTACACCAATAAAATATGGTAACTATCATTCAACATATGCTAAACCCAATGCCATGAGCAACTCCCATTTGGCGATGGTTGGAATCCCAGCCTTTTATGGTCAGTTTTTGTGAATGGTTTATCTTGGGTTTTACCACATTCTCCATGAAATAGTCAATAGTCAGTTTCATGATGCTTTGAACTGCTTATACACTCCACTAACTCCACCTCTCTTCAAATCACACATTTCAACTCTCATGGTCCATTCCTTTCTTCCCAGTCTTGGTTTCAAACAAGATCCGCAGAAAACCCCAATCAATTTTTATGGGAAAAGTCCAGCCGGTACCCCCAGACCAATCCATTAACCATCATATCCATGTCAAGTTGGCACCATATCCCCATGATATCCCCTGATGCCCCCATGATCTCCCCATGATCTCCCTCATATCTTACCCATCCTTTTCCACCTTTCCAACCCCCAACCAGTCCCATCAACCGCACGCCGCGGCACATCATGCTCCGCATAGGCTTCGTACCTCTGCGACATCTCCGATTCGAAGTCCGAGGCGAAGGCCCCGTGGAGCCTCAAATTTTTCGGCACCCTAGGGGAGATGTGTCGAGAAGAATGGTGATGGTTTTTCGTGGGAATTTCAGGACCCTAAAATGGAGGCAAACATTACTAAAACATGTTTTAAGAAATTGTTGGTGAAAAAATTGGAATTTAACCCTGAAATTTATGCTGTGTATATACTATATGCTAGGTATCTCCAATTAGGTTCCTGACATGGCCAGTGGGTGATATATGCAAAAATATGGGGACTGGGTATGTAAGGGATATGATCAAAAGAAGTTTAGTTAGAAAACTTCCGAGTTACGGACGTCTGTCATGGGTAGCATTCTCACCAGCATTCTCACCATCATGCCAACCACATCGTCATGTCATAGTTGAGAAGTGTAACAGGTCGGGAACGCGTGAGTTTAGGTTTGAAAAGACTATCGGGCGCAAAACCTTGCGTTTTTTTCGGGTAAAGTGCACCGAAGTAGGGTCTCTGTTTCCGCGGGTGCGGGCCTCGATCTGGAAAAGGTGTCGACAAAACGTGCACAGGACTGTAGCGAGAGCTTTTCACATAAAAATCGTAAAAAACTGTCAGTCTTGGAGCACTTTTGGAAGATGAGGTCCGCAAAATGTGCACGAGACTGTAGCGAGAGCTCGGTTTCACGAAAAAATCAGTCTCGGAGAGCACTTTTGGAAAATGGGGTCGGCAAAATGCGCAAACGCCTTTAGCTGCAGCATCAATCTCCTGCCATGAATCTTTGAATCAAGCTGCTAGAAGTGGCTGTGGTTTCAATTACCCCCCAATCCTCCCGCACATCCATCATCCCCACCAGTGGTGCTCATCAGCCCTGGGGTCCACTGGTAGGTCAGGACATGGGATCCACAGAAAGGGAGGGCAAGGGGCCACAGCCACCAACCAACCAACCAACCAACCAACCAACCAGCCAGCCAGCCAGCCAGCCTTGTAAAAATTGTTTTCGGAAATTATTTCAATTTCCGCAAACAGTTCTTAAAAACGTTTGACTCTATTTATCTCTATTAAAGCATTCAATTTTTTAGTGATTTAACTAGGTTTTGGTTTTGATGTTTTAATTCATCTTTGACATTTGTTTTCTTTTACTTTTGCTGTCTTTGCAGCTTTGCTTTCGCGCTTCACGGCCTGGGCGATCGTGTCGATTTCCGCCGCCAAAGGAGCCTATGGGTGATGGTAATGACATGAGCCAGTCTGGTATTTGGCATCGCTAAGGTTTATGCAAATATATCTATGGTCAATTTGGATGGCTTCTTCTGCCATTAGGCTACCCCCAAATCATCTAAGTCATGAAAAATAATTTGAGCTGGATGCCAATCCCTCTATTTTCAACGTGATAGCAATTGACCTAAGGGACGGATCAAAATATATAGGAAGTTTGACTTCTAAACTTCCTTCGATTAATATTATATAATATATGTCTAATAAAAAACCAAAAATCCTCCACATGCCTCCACAATGCTCTACAATGCTCCACCTGATGGGATTTTTATGGATTTTTATTGATTTGTTGATTTTTATCGGTTTTTAAGGGCGACTCTGTATGGGTCTATGTATGTCTATGTGGGTCTGATGTTTCTCCGATGTTCTCCGACAACCTGAGGACAACGCTGGAGATGCTGCGCCAGTCTTGGGCTTGGGAGGCACTGGCTCTGCCTGCAGGCGTCGGAAAGATTTGATCCTACGACCATTTAAAGTACGGATTCATACAAATTCGACGGGTTCCACGCGGTTCCATTGGCTCTACATGACTCCACGATTTGCCATGATTTTCCAATATTCCACGTGATGGGACTTTGGATTTGCATGCACACTTCTATACAATTTGCATGATTGTATTATACTATAATATATTGTAATATACTATAATATATTCTGTCTGATTCTGCATGATTCTCGAAGATTCTCAAAGGTAGTCTGAGGACAACGCAGCTGAGCGCGCAGAGGACTGGGCAGGAACCCTGGCCTGTGCATCGCAGGCAGAAGCAAGGCTTTGCTCCCGTGTGCTGGAAGATGCGAAGCGCATTCATGTGTGTTCCATTTGGCTCCAGCCAGATCCACATGATGGAAAATGTAAGATTTTATATGAGAATGTATGGGCATGTATGGGCATTTCAATGCGTTATAATGCGCTTCAGATTTGTCGTATTTTGTCGTTCCCAATGGTTTTCAAATGTTCTCAAAGGACATCTGAGGGCAAGACTGAACTCACTTCCTTGGGCTTGGAGATGAGCTTGGAGGAGCTGCCGCGGCCTGCAGGCATCGGAAAGATTTGCCCCTGCGACCATTTAAAGTACGCGGATTCGACGGGCTCCACATGGTTCCACATGACTCCACGATTCTCCAATATTCTCCACGTGATGAGACTTTGGATGACTCTAAATTTGCAATGATTTGCATTGGTGATTCTGCATGGTTCTCGAAGATTCTCGAAGGTAGTCTGAGGACAACGCAGCTGAGCGCGCAGAGGACTGGGCAGGAACCCTGGCCTGTGCATCGCAGGCAGAAACAAGGCTCTGCTCCCGTGTGCTGGAAGATGCGAAGCGCATTCATGTGTGTTCCAAATGGCTCCACAGAGCTCCACATGATGGGATTTGTTGGTATGTGTAAGTAGAGATGTTGGCATCTTGGGTTTACGAGAACGCATGAGAAAAAACGAGAACAGAGGGACATCCCATGGAAACCCTGCCTTTCCCACCTTGCCCCCGCTGCTCTCTTTCTCCTATAATTCACTGTGTTTCAGAGTGAGGAAAAAAACCTGATGCCGTTTTGCTGTTTTGCCAGTGAGTCTTGCAACTGTAGCCTGCATGAGCCAAACCATGTACTTCTATGTCTGCTTCGGTTCTTGCATGTCTGCAACGTTCTCATATGATTTCATATCATACAGTATGCATCTCGTCATATTTCTCTCGGTTTCTCTCCTTCTCCATCTGTCTTTCTTCAGCTTCGGCGCGCCGCTTCTCCTGTCAGTTGTTTGGGGAAATCCGATCGGATAATGTGATAATATGTGATAATCGTGATATGACATATCTATATATATATATATCACAAATTGTCACAACATGTCTCATCCGAAAGCCCTCTTTCCCGCAGATTCTGCATGGTTGGTTCTCGAAGATTCTCGAAGGTAGTCTGAGGACAACGCAGCTGAGCGCGCAGAGGACTGGGCAGGACCCTGGCCTGTGCATCGCAGGCAGAAGCAAGGCTTTGCTCCCGTGTGCTGGAAGATGCGAAGCGCATTCATGTGTGTTCCATTTGGCTCCAGCCAGCTCCACATGATGGAAAATGTAAGACTTTATATGAGAATGTATGGGCATGTATGGGCATTTCAATGCATTATAATGCGCTTCAGATTTGTCGTATTTTGTCGTTCCCAATGGTTTTCAAATGTTCTCAAAGGACATCTGAGGGCAAGACTGAAGAACTCACTTCCTTGGAGGCCGCGGCCTGCGGCTGTCCATGTTAAGGTTTGTTATGGTTTGTTCCAGCTCAGTTGAGCTGTTTGAAACGTATTTCAGATTGCTGCAAAACATTGCAAAACATTGCCAAACTCTGCATGGCCGAGCTGGCATGGATTTCATGAAAAAGATTCAAAAAGTATGAATGAATATGAATGCCGCGCCCTTTCTTTCTGATGCTGGCACCTTCTTCTCTTGACGCTTCGTGCGTTTCCTTGCACCAGTAACGTGGAACAACGCAGCAACATGGTACCAGATGGTACCAGCATACTACAGCATACTATAGCATACTCAAAGCAGTGTTTCAAATGAGATTATATGAGATTGCATCATTTGGATTCATTTGGCGAAGTTCTACATATAGTTGAAATGGCAAAAGGAAGATGATGGAACGAAGTTTTACGATGTTCGTAAGTCAAACTTCTGACTTAGTCAGCTAGTCAATTTGTTAGTCATTTCTTTAGCTGGGCTCTTGTGCATTTAGATGCATCTAGAGGGTCACTGAGCCAGTCAGGACCGGTCAGTCAAATAGTTTTTCATAGTTTTTCAATGGTTCAACTAGTTTGTACTTACTGTGTCAACTAGCTTCTCACACTAGCGAACCAGGACGTCAAGTAGCATCAAATAGTCGATTGTCAGCTAGCTGAATGACATTGAATGACCAGCATGCCTGTTACCCATTGTTACCCCATGAGTCGATGACATGGGCTACCTTTCGTCGACGCATGTCGACACCCAACATCACTCAACATACCTTACCGTATCTTACCGTTCTCCACCAGATATCATCAGAATGATCCAGAATGGGAAGCTGCCAAACCCGCTGTCTGTTGCCAATCCTGATCAATCCTGATCCTACGGTCGGTCTATGGTTCGTGCTCTTTTTCTGGAAAACAATGGAAAACAATGAAAAGCAATGGAAAACAATGGAAGATATCATTAAAAAAAATAAAAACATCATAAAAAAAATCCACGTCGAAAAACCGAGGGCCCTGAACGGCAGTCCTTGGTGGCTCTTCTTGCTCTGACTCTGAAGTCGTCTCTCCCTGCTGAATGGCAATCCGGGCCGTTGAAGAATGAGCTTTGTGATGCTATGTGATGCTTTGATATGCTTTGTATAGAGATGCGTTCCAAAGCTTTCCAACCAGAGTTTACGAAACATGCACAGTATACAAAAAATCAAATAAAATCGAAAAATGACATAGCATCGCAACATCTTACTCACTGATCTCACCATATCTCACCCGGTCTCCATGCCCCACGACTCCACCTCCAAAGTCACTTCTAGGCATGAGTCCCTCCACTCGTGGGTGTCGCCAGACTGGATCTTCCATCCTGGCGCTGAAATCAGTGCAGTTGTTCTCAGATATTTCTGATTTCTCATTATTTCTCTAGCAATCTCACCGATCGATATGGGGCTGACTTGAAGCACCAAACATCACACATCATCACCCACTTGCCTCTGCGAGGCGGCTTCTCTTCCCTGCTATCGCTTTTCCACAGGGTATAGCCTGACCAGATCTGTCAAGCAGGACTTGAATAGCATTCAACCACCGCGAGCAGCGCTAGGCCGCTAGGCGAAGAACAAGCAAGTGGCCCAGCGGGATACGGGATGAGTTCTTGTTTTGATACGCGTATATCATATTTGCATGTACTATCATATACTGGAAGAATCTGTAATACAACTCGCACAGACTATCCGACATTATTGGTCATCCCACCATGTTCCACCTCGCGGCATCAACAACAACACGGAAGACTTCAAGAAACCAACGAGTTGGTAAAGCATGGTAAAGCATGGTAAAGAGATGTAAAGCATTGAAAGGCGGAATCAGTATGCGGAAACCTTCTTCGAGCATCTTAAATCGGATGAGAACTCACGAGACCTCTGACATGCTCCAAAGCTGGGTCCCGCCATGTCCTGCTAACTGCTAAGCTCCATTAAGCTCCTCTAACATTATCTCCCCCGTCCTCGCCTTCCGGGTCCTGAATTCGCCACCCCTTCTTCTTCGTCCAGCACAGGGTCTCACCTCGAGGGCCAAGCCACACCTGGCCAAAGGACCAGCACTCAAATTCAGAAGATCCACGGAAGTCATCACGACTAGCAAAAAGATGCCAAAAGTAAAAGGATGTAAAAGGCGCCACTCTGCCATCTTACTGGCCCAAATTTGAACCTACCTGCTTTCCCCTTAAGCACAAAATAATACGAAATAGCCAAGTATTCCATTGTCTTCCATGTCGCACTGTGGCTTTTGAACATGTAGGAAAAAAAGATGAGAAAATTCTATGAATGCCAGGTGCGGTGTCATGTGCCCCATCTCTTTCAAGTTCTATCTCGCATTTCTTCTGGCTCTCATTCTGGCATTCTACCTGGCATCTGGCATCATTCTGACATTCTTTATGGTATATTGTCAAATATGTTCGAATATGTTCAAATATTGTCCAACATCTTCCACCTTTATTTCTTGCATCCAAATCCAAACGTTTCACCTGGTTGGAATCTAGACTTTCGCTGGTTGTTTTGGTGTTTGGCAGGTTTGCCGGTTTTGTTTGGTTGGGATGTTGGCTGATGTTGGTGGCTGTCGTGTTGTTTGATTTCCTTTTGCATGCATGTGCTGTGGTTTGCATTGTTTTGCTTTTGGCGTGGCTCCATGTTCCAACCAGTCCTGCACCAACATCCCAAAAAAATAACGAAATCTTATCCTGTCGTATGCCTCTTGAAACCCTTGTCATTTCCCACAACATCATCCCATTGCAGGGTCAGAAATAATTGTTCATATATATTATATGATTATATATAAACATATAGAGATAGAGAGAGAGAGAAAGAAAGAGGTAAATATATGTGTATAAATACATATGTACAATAATAAGAATATTTTTGTCCATTTATTTACACTTTTATTCCCCAACAACAAAACTTTGCTATGGGCTATGGGGTCTTTAGCCCAGATTTGCTCCGGTGCGATCCGGTGCAGCTTCAACACCAGGTTTCGGACAAGGTTCCGATGGGTTCTGGTGCAGATACCTTGTGAGGTTCCGCAGGGTTCCGGTGCAGATACCTCGTGAGGTTCCGGAGGGCTCCAGTGAAGATACCTGCTGATCCCCGGAAGGTTGTGTGCGGTTCCGGAGGGTTCTGGTGCAGATACCTCGTGAGGTTCCGGAAGTTTCCGGTGCAGCTACGTGGTGAGGTTCCGGAGGGTCTATGTGAAGATGCCTAGTGAAGTTCCGGAGGGTTCCGGGGCAGATACCTTGTGAGGTTCCGGAAGGTTCCGGAAGGTTCCGGTGCAGAGACCTTGTGAGGTTCCGGAGGGTTTTGGCGGAGAAGATGCTTGGTGAGGTTCCGGAGGGTTCCGGTGCAGATACCTTGTGAGGTTCCGTAGGGTTCTGGTGCAGATGCTTTGTGAAATTCCAAAGGGCTCCGATGCTTTTTATGGCATAGGCACTTAATTTTTATGGCACAAGCGCTTAATTTTTATAAAAAAATATGGCATAAGAAGCACTTTTTATGGCAAAAACGCAGAAGCTTTCAAGCTGTTAGGGGATAGCACCTGAGTTTATTTTCCACTGATGTGGCGCTACCCTTACCAAAGAAATTCAAGGGGTATTTTACATTTCAGCATTATTGTCCCGTACTTGGCCAAGCAGCTCCACAGTTCGGCACGTCGGACAGAGGACCCTGGTGAATGAGAGGAAGGAGCACGGGGGTGAAGGGGACGCTGAGCGCGGCGCGTTGGACACGCAGGCTGTGACTGGGAACTTGACAGAGAGCAGCACGCAGGAAGGCTAAGGGTGGTGAGTTGTGGGGTGGCAGGGGTGCGGGTTCTGGAAAAGACTTGGCAACGGACGGGAGGATGCAACCTACCTACTGCCTTGGGGACACCTCCTTGCCTTTCACACTTGTGGCAAACACCTCTTTCACACCTACCTCGCCCTGCCCAGCTCTCCTCCCTTTCCTATAGTCAGGTCCTATCTTTCAAACTTCCGCCCCGACGCGTGCCGGGCACTACCAGGTATAAGGAGGATAAGGTTCTTGTGGGATTGTTGAATGCGGATCACAATAATGTTTGGGTGCATTGAGGGCTTATGTAACCACCAAGAACCACGTTTAGAAGAGCTAATTCACCACCTATTGTTTCGGAATCCCTTTAGGGTTGGAATGATGGGAATCCCATCAGAGACTTGTGGGTCCCATGAGAATTGTTATTCCAAGGGATGGATCTAGCCCTTTGACTGCACAAGGCCATCAGGAAGCCGGTGTTTGTGACCACCGTGGGTTGGCTTTTTTAAGCTGCGCTGGTTGGCCCCAATGCTTCGATCTTCGCCTAGACACACATCCTGCATCGGAGTGGAAGGCAAGTTTGCCCGGCCATAGGTTGCCTTAGATCCAGGGAAGGGGCTACATGGAGCCCAAGAATGCCTGGGTCGGAATCAAACCCCATAATGGAAAGGCCTCCAATAATTCAGCCACCACCGAAAATCTGTTCTAGAACCAAATCACCTAGAGAAAATCAACGACAAATGTAAAAATCAATGGAAAATCATCGTGTTCTAGAAGTAAATCACCTGGAAAATCAACGAAAAATCCTTATTTTCTACCTGTAAATGGCCTCAAAATGGTGGATTTTGTGCCCGGGCGCAGAGCGATCCACCGGACGCCGCACCACGGTGCTGCCATCTTCGTTGCGGGGTGGGTTCAGCCTGTCGATCACCCAGCCACAGGCGACAACCCCGGCGTGGGATGTAAACGGATGTAACATGATATGGCTATGGGTCAATACCTATAGATACATTTTTAATGGGATGAACATCCATTTACCAGCTATTTTGATGTTCACCAGGGGTACAAGGGTTTTGACACATCCCCATATAGCTAATATAGCTATAAAACTGGATCCACCACATTCCAAGCAACGTTGGAAATGTTAGGATGATACCTCATCAACTCTTCGAGTGGGGGGGATACATTTTTGACAAGTTAAAAGGGTGGATTGGACTGATCGATGTAATCTCAAGATGATATGTATGACAACAAATTGCAGTCACTAAAACCATGCATGTTTTCTACTGAAACGGATAGGGGGTCACCAACAAACATTGGGATTTACCCGGCAATTTAACTTGGCTAAGTGAACAATCCAGTTCAAGGGACAATATTCATGGAAGATTCTCCATTGCCAGCTTAGACTACCTGGAATCATGTGAAATTCGTATCAAGTTGAGGAAAATATGAGAGATTTAAGATGCTTAATTTACTTGAACCATGAATTAACATGAATTAAATACCTCTATCGCATCCCGTGAAATACTTGTTGGTCACCAAGTATTCCAATGAAACGTAAAACCACCAGGTAGGTTTATAACCGCCTATAATCATTGACCAACAAGGCTTGAACCTGCAGCCCGCCACGCCCAAAGGACCTGATGTCCACTCCTCGACGAAAGGTGTTCATTTGCTTGGCAGTCCTTGGCGGTTGATGCCGTTGATGCGGTTGATGAGTTGAGATTCTGCCAATAAAAAGGGTAGCTATCCCAATATCTCCAACCATGAATATTGTTCAATTTTATCACCCATAGGGTAACTTCCAAATTTTCGAAATTCTGATGTATGGAAAAAGTGAATAAATAGGAAGTTGACCAACCATTGGACCATGTGACCTCCGGAGAGTATAGATCCATATAGATCCCACATGTCCCACCAAATATTGGGAGTTTACTGAAAAAAACCTTTACAAAATTGTGATCATCAATGATAATTTGAATAAATCTGGACCATTTTGGGGATTCCTCCATATTCCCCATCTATGGTGTGTGCCTTTTTGGAGTTGCTTTTAGATTGAGCAAAACCCATCGAAGAGATATCAGATCGAACATCATTGGCCAACAGCGATGCAAATCTGCGATGATCTTGGATGTCCAGCCGGACTGCCCCGTCCATAAAGAGCTTATAACCAGACCATGGTGATTCAATGTGATTGGGGGCCATCTCTTCTCCGGGATATGAGTGACCTACCGACCTACGATACATGGGGCATGGCAACAATCCCAAAGCCAGCACCTTTTTGTCCAACGGGGTCATGTTAAATCTCCAGGAAGATCCAAATAACCCCACTCATTGTGTACGTAATGTAACATGCTCGGGCATCGGTCAAACTTGCCGACCCCAAAGTGACAAGGGACAAGGGTCGACCTTTTTCCTGATCCAAAACTTGCATCAAACTTTGAGCCAGAAAACACGTATATATCCAATGTACTCCCCAGTTTCTGAAGTGTCTGGAATTCCCAACCCACCATGGCCGAAAACCATGGCGCCCCCAGGGCCCCACATGGCACCCGCTTTCGAGTGGTCGAACGCCCCTCTTCACCGCCGTCTTGTTGATGGCTCGAAAATCCTTCGAGCGACGGCAAGGGGTTGAAGAACTGCTGGGCAACACTGTCAGTTGGCCACAAAATTTTGACTGGGAGTCCAAAAATCATGCATGGGTATACATAATATCATCATAGCATACATAATGGATATACAGGATAAATCCCAAACAAACTCTGAAGGAAATCGTCAGCCTCTGGGCATCTTTTAATCGCTATTTTGCTCGAGATTTATATCTGTTGTGGATTGTGTTGGTCCAAACCATATTAGTTGTGCTGTTTGTGTAAATTCTGGAATGTTTTTTTTTGCAAGACCATTGTTGATTCTGGATGATTCTGGCATCTTCTGCCTAAATTGTTTGATAACTCCTTTATTTTCAGATGCTCTGCAAACTGGGTTAGTCCGAAAAATGGTACCCCTAAATTCGACGATTGATCATAATTTTCCCCATTAGAATAGCCAACTTGCGGGGAAAAACATCAGTCGACTCTAATTCCATGATTCATTAAGCTTAACTTCCTATTGTTCATGGTGAGACCCGGGGTCATGGTAAGTCCCCCAGTTTCAGACACACCCAATTGGATGGGGTTAGAAAAGTTGTAATTCCCAATATATACCCTCCGGCAATCAAACGCGGCAATGGGAAATTGCCTATAAACGGGGGTTTTGATGTGAAAACGAGCGAACTAAATGGTGGATTCTCCAGCAAGCCCACGTCTGATGAAATCGGAGGGTATTCAAATCAGCTTCTCATGATACATATGTATATATATATATACACACCCATTATATATCCCATTATAAAACCACCCATCATAAATTACCTATCACCGGTTAGAAAAGTTATTTAAAAAAAAACTTACATATTAAATATACATGTATATATATATATTATTATATATATATATATATTATTATATATATATTATTATATATATATTATTATATATATATGTACTATATTTTAGATATATTCCATGACATGATATTACAATGTATCCCCCATATTATGGGTGGCGTAACATCCTCCACTCGGAGCTCCGGCTCCGGCGCCTGCGCCAGATCTGCCGGCTGCACGCTCTTGAGATGTTGGGTCCATCTGCTAGTGACCTCACGAGCACCTGAAGCAGTGGTAGTTTCACCAGCAATCAATGGCCATTTCAGGAACCGATTGATTGGAGGTACCTACCATATATAAGGCCTATTTTTTAGGGCTATGTAAGGGAATATCTCCACAAAATATGGCCTGACAAATGGTATAGTACCTCCATTTTAGGATCCTGAAATTCCCATGAATGGTGAAACATGGTGAAACTGCTGGTACCCTCTGGTAATGACTAACAAAAAACTATGGAAAACCACCATTTTTGATGGCTAAATCAACTATTTCTATGGCAGTTTTCAATAGCAAACTGTTAGTTTACCAGAGGGTATGAAAAAAATGTTGACTTTACCATTAAAACATGGCTGGTTAGTTCATGCTGAAGCCGGTAATGTCAACCCTGGATTAATAAACCCCAAACGGCTGTTTAATTGGGGAGATACTTAAATTTTAAGTATTGGATGAAATGACTATTTGGAGGAGTACCCCCCCATTTTTCATAAACCATGGTTTAGTCTCATCCGGGGTTGACATTAATGCTTAAAACCCATGGGAAATTCATGGCCAAAAAACCCATGGAAACAGCTCTCTGCCCCATCTCCAACACTCCAACCTTCTGGATCCCGTGGAAACACACGGCCGTAGGCGTGCCCATCTGGAGGTAGGTCGTAGCCTGACTCTGACGAAAAGAACAAAAACAGTTGGGTATGGATCATAGAAAAAGGAATATGTGGATGATCATTCAGGACCATTTAGGATATAATTATATATAATATCAATTAATATTGTTTCATTGATATGTTCCATCTTTCGTGTGTCCATTTCTTCCTAGATTTTCGGGGACCCGAATCTCAGGATCCCGATGAACCAGAATGGCTCGGACCAACTTTGGTCACCTCAGTGGCCGCTCCCCACATGGCCCATGCCCAACATCATTGCTGCCAAGTAGCAGCTGTGGCGAGCCTTTCCGACTTCATCCTCTGCCAGAAATCAGTTGGTGACAATACCGGTCGGGTACTGTTTACGATTTAGCCTGAGGCAAAGTAACATAGATATGGAAAAGCCACAGAAATCTGTGGTTTCCCTTGGAACAAGATCTACAAATAGTGGGATTTTCCATATCTATCTTCATCATCTACAAATAAAGGTGGTGCGGGGGGGTTGCAACCCCTCATTTAAACTGACCATGAAGGAAAGGACATACGGGTCATGGAATCCAAAAAAAAACGCTGTTTGAGACTAGGAAGAACAATCTCCAAAACCATTGTGTGGGGGAAAGATTGGGAAAGAGGGTCATATGGGTTTATTTTCAGGAGGTATACTTGTAGCACATAATAAAATGTTTGGTGTTGGGCCATGGCTTTCTGACGCACAATGAAATCAAGTGTAACAAGTTCACTTGCGCTTTCCTTAAATCAAATTTCTTGAAAGTGCAACTGAACTTGCTCCCTATAGTCATACGGCCATCAAATTCTCAATGACTTCGATGGTTTTCTCACCTCATCTCACCTCTCTTTTGCACAAATCGCACCAGGTGTAAATCCATAGACAGATCCATGGCCCATCCCACCTTCACGATGACCGGATTGTCAACCCGGCGCCGGTATTCTTGGGACATGGCAGCGATCGCTCCGGTCCCGGTCCGTCCCGGATCTGGTGATCAGCCAACGGAAATGCTTCAGGATCGCCATGTGCATTGAGAATATCTTGGTTTTTGGGTGTTGGAAATCTTGGGCGAGCCATCTGCCTTGCCGAAATCAAAGCTGAGCCAATCGCGGAGCCAGCGGAGCGCCATCCGAGGTCATGGGGTGCCAATGGGTGCCACTTCCGGGGGGTTCTTCAACTCGAGTCACCAAAAGATGGACACTTTCAAGGTTGCTTCAACTGGAGTCACACCGGAAAAATGGAAATGAATCGACGTGGCCAATCTCAGCACCTCCAAACCTTCGACCCATATAGGGGTCGGACCTCAGCTGCGGCCTCCTCTATACTATTGGCAGCCTGGCAAAAAACTGCCCGGAGCCAGATCCAGTGGGTGCCCTGAAATCACATGGTTTTAACAGCCAAAAAAGGCCCAATCTTCATATGAAACCCTGATGTTATTGGACCTATGCATTTGGGATTTGCATTTAGGGGAATTTAAGACCGGGGTATGGGAACTCTTTGGAGCATTCAAGATATTGAGCTGCGGTCAATGTTGACCACATGATGCACATGCCGACACATATGCAGTAATTGCATGTATATAGTGATAGAGATATACATACAATATATACAAAATATACATATAATATTATATATATATACATAATTGCTGCCTATACATATAAAAATATGCGTCTATGCACCTCTTCAATTCAGCATAGCACCCCAAACCGACCCACATCCAATCACGGATAAACCACAAGGGAATCGCCCATTCCACAGGGCGCACGTCTGCTTCTTCGCCATGATCCGTGCGCAAGCCTGAGAAAAAAGGTCATGCAGCAGAGTCCAACTAAGTGGACAGTAATTTGCGCATGTTCAATAAAGAATGAACCCCGTCATGCAAGAAATTTGGAAACTCGACAGCGAGAAGACTCAACAACAGAGGAAATCCTAAAGAAACATGGTCATTTGACACACTGTAGTCACTGTAGTCGATAAATCACTGAGAATCCACTCAGGGAGACACAGATATAGAGAGAGAGAGAGACTATGCAAACATCTGTCTAGAGTCTACACATGTATACATGTATACATGTATATATGTATATGTGACTATTATTATCATTATTATTATCATTATCATTATGATTATCATCATTATTATTAGTAATACTATTATTAATTACATAATATTATATATGTATGAATACTATATACAATCAATATTGTATAGATATTAGATATTACAACTGCTAAAAAAGCCAGGAGCCAGGCCAATTGACACCTCTCGCGCCCTGGCGGAGCCCAAAAAATGGCAGCTGGAAATGTTGGTCAGTGAAGTTGGTAAAATGTCTTTGGTCTCTGAAGTATCTACCCATATGGATTGAAGTGATGAAATAATGAAAACAGAATCAGTTCTTCGACTTTTGTGATATGGATTGATATGGTTTTCATTCTGAAATGATCTGAAGTTTACCACAATGCATCACGAACGGATCTAAAGGAGTATCATGGGGAGTTGCTTTTTGACAAAATAATATTGACCAACGGTGACCAACCTATACGGCTAGATCAACCACAGAAATGGGATAGGGCTTACCCTCTGGTAAACTAACATAGCTATTGAAAATGGCCATTTATAGTGAGTTTTCCCATTAAAAATGGTGATTTTCCATAGTTATGTTAGTTTACCAGAGGGTAATTTGTTCAGCCCTGGGGGCGCACATGAAGTGGCTATTTTGAGCATCCGAAAACATCCAATTGGAGGGTTGGGGATGCTCCACAATGCCATAGGAATCGAAATGCGGATGTATCCGCTAAGAACACAACAACATACTTGGATCTACATGACTAACATCTAGATGTTACAAGTTGTCACCACTAAAAAGGAAGGTGCCCGCATGTTTAGATACAACTGGGTATGGCGCAATGATTGGCTCAATTTTTGGTCAATTTCAGTGGAAAGAAACCTTCAAAAACTTTATTCAAAAACCATCCATTCTTGGTACCTTTCGACTCAAAAAACGCCCAGCCGTCCCAGCCCGGAACCAACTGCCTTCCATCCTTCCGCCATGTGGCGATTTCACCACCGATGCGTCGATCGATCCACATCTTTAAGGATACATTGCTGGGCCTGGGTCACTGCAGTGCCATTTGAAAGGGAGAAAATGGAATGGGTTCCATGATTCTGGCGATTTAATGGAATTCTATTGGAATACTATTGGAGCTCATGGGATTTTATTGGATTGCGAAAAAAAACACAAGGTAAACATAAAAAATGTGGAAACCAGTGGTTTCAATTGGAAAATGATCTACAAATGGTGCGCTTTCCACATCTATGTTAGTTTACAGGAGGGTACAAAGATGATTTTTGAGGTTCAAAAATCAAACAGCGCCCTGGTCGTCGTTGCGTGCATTAAACATAGGTTGATCGTGGCAATCGAAACGGGCTGCTTTTTGGGGTCGCAAAGGGTCCCAAGTTCACCCGGAAAGGATAGCATCTTGCAATCCTCAACCTTGTCTACCCAACAATGCTGTTTGGTGAAAAATTGGGCGAAAAATTTTGGCATACCAAACAATGTCATAACATGTCGGTATTTGGTGATTCAACGGGAATGAGCCCTCCAATATTCAACCAACCAGTCAATGGCCATTTCAGGTACTGGACCTAAATTGGAGGTACCTGTCACAAATAAGGCCAATGTAAGGGCCAAATTTCTAAGGATATGCCCCAAATATGGCTTACAGTGCCTCCATTCTCGTGTCCTCAAATTCCCATTGAACCAGCATCCAGCGAAGAAGCTGCCGGGGCTCCCCAACGCCCCTGACAGGCAGGCCTTTGTGAGATCCCGGATCTGGCAGTGCGACGGCAGTCCACCCATATTTTGGTGGTCTGTACAAGCCATTTATGGATATTCATGGTGAATTGGGGGATGGTTTACTATTGCTTTACTATTACCCTCTGGTAAACTAACATAATTATGGAAAATCACAATTTTTAATGGGAAAACTCACTATAAATGACCATTTTCAATAGCTATGTTAAATTACCAGAGGGTACTGGACTTGGAAATCTTAGGGTCCCGGACTGGGGGTATATTTTGATATTAGGGAATGGGATTATTTTGGTACGCATCCACGTATTACGCATACACTTTCAAGTAATCACAGAAACAGGGACCTGGGATGTAAGCAAACATGTCATTTACTAACAAAAATATCAAGACTACCTGGCTTTGTCTGAAAATCCCTTGGTGAATCATGTTTTTTTCCCAATGATTTGATAATTGGAAGGTATATCCCTACACTAAACACCATGGATCTTCGCATCTTTTCCGCCCTGGCCCTCCGTTGTTCAGCCACTTTGGCCCTGGCGCGGCGCTGCCCTCTGCGGCCGTCTGTCCGTGGGCGCAGCCGCCCTCTGCGCTGCTGTGCAGCCCATCTCTGCCGTGATGCTCTCTGGCTTTCAGACATCTATATAACCATATTAGATAAAAATGATGGTTTAATAAGCTTCATAACCCATAAATTAATATATATATATATACATGTATATCCTAATGATGGTTGGCCTTCACTAGTCAACCATCGTTCTAGTTTGGGATATCGCCAACATTCGCCAACCATAATTAGAAATGCAATAGCCTAAGGTTAGTGAAACATGACAAAAGCATCAAAATCACGAATCATCATGAATATCGATGTGGCAGTGTGTCAAAACCTTGTACCCCTGGTGAACATCAAAATAGTTGGTAAATGGATGTTCATCCCCCTAAAAATGGTATGTATAGGTATTGATCCATAGCCATGTGACTTCAGTAAACCCATCATCGTACCAGAAGTGAAGCCACTGCTTCCTTCCTGTGCCCCCGTGCGGGAGACGAGTCACTGCCTCTCAGATCCTCGCTGACCAGTTGCGCAACTGGTCAGTCTTCCCTGCGTCGCGGGCAACACTTTAAACCATAGAGGAAACCAGCTCAGAAGGTCGCATTCCCCAAATTCGCTGGTAGCATGTGCCAAGTTTTCCCTAGTTACCTCATGTTATCTTCCCATCTGTTCGATTTAAAAGGATCGCCTAGCCTCAATTTAACCTGGCAATGAAAGTCATCCATTTACAGTTCATCCCATATTTTCCCATTAAACCTATTCGAAAAGTTGTTATGTCCAGGTTTCGGTCCCCTCATCCACCATAAAAACCGTTACCCTCCAGTAATAGCTTTGCAAAATGGACGATTTATAGATGATTTACCTATTCAAAATGGTGATTTTCCAGTTCGCAAAGTGTTTGTTTACCAAAGGGTATTAACCATCAATCATCTATCTAATTAGTTGGGTTGGGTTAGCATTAATATTAACCATCTATTATTAACCATTTATCATTAACCAAATGTTTTTTCTTGGACGATTATTAACTATCTCTTATTAACTATCTATTATTAACATTTATCATCATCATCATCATCATCAATTTTAATATATTAACCATATTTACCATATTTACCATCATTAATATTAACCATCTATCATTAACCATATGTTTTTAACAATATTTAACAACCAGCGTTTTCACCAGGACGATTTCTGGAGCCCAGCCCAAACGAACGCCACCGATCGATCGCCGCGTCACTTGGCGCGCTCGCCCTGGAGCTCCTGCGCTTGTCTCTCCTGGCACCGATGTGAAAGGCGGGGGAATGGAGAGATCTCGGTGTTTTATAGCCACTGGGATTATCCCATATATATATATATATATCTGGTTGGTGGTTGAGCCACTCCCTTGAAAAATATATGAGTTCGCCAGTTGGGATTATGATTCCATATATTGTGGAATATAAATTACTTTACTTCGTGTGATCCCCACCATGACATTTATAGATTTTCTTACTGGCAAATCTTCTGGCATTCTATCTGACATATCTTCTGGCATTCTATCTGGCATTCTATCTGGCATATCTTCTGGCATATCTTCTGGCATTCTATCTGACATATCTTCTGGCATTCTATCTGGCATATCTTCTGGCATATCTTCTGGCATTCTATCTGACATATCTTCTGGCATTCTATCTGACATATCTTCTGGCATTCTATCTGGCATTCTATCTGGCACATCTCATGGCATTTTATCTGGCATATCTTCTGGCATTCTATCTGACATTCTATCTGGCATATCTTCTGGCATTTTTATCTGGCCGTTGAGGTCCAGCGGTGCACACTGAGCTGGGCAGCTCGCAGGTTGAGGTCCAGCGGTGCACACTGAGCTGGGCAGGTCCCCGGTTGAGGTCCAGCGGTGCACACTGAGCTGGGCAGGTCCCCGGTTGAGGTCCAGCGGTGCACACTGAGCTGGGAAGGTCCCCGGTTGAGGTCCAGCGGTGCACACTGAGCTGGGCAGGTCCCAGGTTGAGGTCCAGCGGTGCACACTGAGCTGGGCAGCTCGCAGGTTGAGGTCCAGCGGTGCACACTGAGCTGGGCAGCTCGCAGGTTGACGTCCAGCAGTGCGCACTGAGCTGGGAAGTTGGCGAAGAGCTTGGCGACGAGTTGGCAAGGTTGGCAAGGCGGAAGTGGAGGTGGAGCAAGGCGGAAGTGGAGGTGGAAGAGGCGGAGGCGAGGAGGACAGCTAGTCGAGGAGGAGGAGGAGGAGGCGGGCATGCGCTCTGATAAAATCTAACAACCCTCACCTGGCAGGTGGGGAAAAATGTTCCAAACCACCAACCAGATATATATATATATATATGGTGGCCCCCCCTGTATCTACCCTTTCTGTACCTTTAACGGTATTTACGGTGCTTTTTGCATATTTTGGGGTATATATTTTTTTAACGTTTTTTAGGAGGTCCTAGGACCTCACTGGAACCAAGAACCAAGAACCAAGATTGCACAGAAAGTCTTGGGGGAATCTTGGTTCTTGGTTCTTGGTACTGGGGAGGTCCTAGGACCTCTTACCCAGAACCAAGAACCAAGATTGCGCAGAAAGTCTTGGGGGAATCTTGGTTCTTGGTACTGGGGAGGTCCTAGGACCTCTTAGGAGGTCCTAGGACCTCACTGGAACCAAGAACCAAGAACCAAGATTGCACAGAAAGTTTTGGGGGAATCTTGGTTCTTGGTTCTTGGTTCCAAGGAGGTCCTAGGACCTCTTAGTTCTTCTTCCTTTCAGACTATGTCTTAAGTATAATTCATACTAATGTTGAGCTAGTGTTTTTCAGATGCTCCCCTCCAGACACAAATCAACAAAAACCACTACATAAACATCATCAACCAATAACCCATAAAATCACAACAACACTGAACCCTCAACCCTCAAAATTTCTAACAGCATAACCTTGCCCAACTATCATCCCAAAAAAATATTATAATTTATGTGGTATTTTGTCGGGCAAGGTTAGGTTGATAGAAAAACTACATTATAAGAACATGTTTGTTGAAAACTATTGTATTAAAGTGTTAGAGTATTTATTTTACATAATATTTATTTAACTAATATTTTCCACAACTTCTATTACATCTATCACAGTATGGTATTATATTGTCTAAAGTATGGGTATATTCATTATTCACCCTTTGGCAGTTAAATTTGTTGTTATATTTCCACCTTTAATAATTGTATGAAACCCACATGCACAGTAATTGCATTGGTTAGTTATATTATCAAAAAAACACTTAACATTCACATAACCTTCTTTTGGTATTGCTCTTTTTGCTTTCCTGTCCTGTTGCTTGTAGTTTTCATTTTTTTCTTTCATATTTACTTTTCATACATTTATAATTGAATTCATCATTTACATCATCACTATATTTATAAAACTTTACTTTGCTTAAATCTCTTGCTCTTGTAATTGCTGTCCATAACAACTCCCTATAATTTCTAATGTCAAAATGGTTATAATCAAATATTGTTATATCTCCATCTATACTACTACCTTGGGAAGAATGGCAGGTGGTGCAATGAGCAAATATAAAATTATCTCTACCTTCTTAATTTGAATGGATTGCGGTATATTAGTTTTAGTATTTTTCAATGTCATTACCCCACCCTTTCCAATATGGACAAATCCATATTTAAAATTCACATTAGGTACTGATGTAGGGGTTTTAGTGTATTCTCTACATATCAAAAATTCTCCCACTTCATATTCATCTTTTCTATTTTCTAGTTTCCTAATTTCACTTGCTACATTCTTACAGGTATCATTTAAGTAGGCAATGTTATGTTTGAACCACTTATACTAGTAGTATATCTGAAATATTGTTCAATTACTTTCTTCTTGAAAGGTAGTTTATTTACAAGAATATCAGTTTTTACATTGCTTATGTTTTTCTGTATCCTCTTTTGTTTTCAGTCGCTTACATTCTTTTAATAATATATATATATATACTATTTGTGAAAATATTGTTTATGACGATATAGTCAGCATATACTTCATACTCTTGAATGTTAGTTAGTGGTTGAATAGGTTTTAGTTGCTTTGTGTCTCCTGTTGCTACTATTATTTTGTTGCTTTTATTCTCTTCTACAAATTGTATTATTCTCCAGTAGGTGCTTAAACTACTGAAGTAAATTTCATGAAAAACTATTACACATACCCTGAATAATCAAATGGTTCTAACATTACATCACCAAAACTTCTACCAAAAAACTTATTTAATGTTAGTGCGTCTCCTTCAAATTCTTGAAGCAATCTATTAGTAGGACATACAAACATTACCTTATACCCTTTACCTACCATTTTCTGACATATATAACTGTTGCCAGTTCCAGCATAAACCCCCCTTATCATAATTGGGTTATTTTCCCTGTTGACTTCTATGATTTCACCAGTGGCATATTCATTTTCAATATCAATTACCAAAACAATGCACTCATCTGGTGGAATCCACATTGTCAACAAAGGCTAAATGTAGGTACAGGAGGGGGGGTAGCATATATATATATACATATTATGTATATTATATGTAATATAAAAATGAATCTCAGATTTAGGGATGGGGGACATATATGAATCCATAGAAACAAGCAACCATCATAACAACCAACCAGAATTTATGGATTCCTGCAGGAAATCGGTGCGATCAAGTGGTTCAACAAATGTCATCAAAGGACGGCGTTTGTCTCAACCAAAGGAGAACTGATTAAAACAATGAATTCATCCCTTATATTATATTCTTTACTTCCTTATATTATGTACTATGTATTCTATAACTAACCCCTTATATTATCTATATTATCTGTATTCTATAACCCCTTATATATATATATAACCATACGTATATTCATTCTGTACTATCTGTCCCAAGGGCTGGTTGCTGGTGAACTATAACCTGATCTGAAGCTCCAATTCTCCAGTCACTCAAGTCCTTCTCTTCCTCAACCATGGACTGGAGTTTCCTGCCACATCGACACGTCACAACACCCAAAACCCAAGAGAAAGTCTATCATTGGTCGAAGTGGAGTACCATGGAGTAACCCCCCCAATTAGTCGTAGATCATCACATTATGATTGGAAAATGATTGATGAATCAGCAATCAATGGGGAGACTTACCCTCTGGTTATGACATTCACAGTTCGCCATGGAAAATCCACCCATTTTTAAGTTCGGTAAACATGGTAAACCATCGAACGAACTTTCGAACTGGGCCACAAAAAAAAAACATGGCAAACTGTGAATGTCATAACCGTTAAGGCTATTATTTCTATATGGGTTTGTCTGAAAATAGTGTATACCCCCAATGATAGCCGTTTAATAGGGATAATTTGGGGGGTATCATTGGGATAATGATCATTGGGGGATAATGACATATTTTCAGTTTAATAGGGATACCCTCTGGTAAACTAACATAACTATGGAAAATCACCATTTTTAATGGAAAATTCCACTATAAATCACCATTTTCAATAGCTATGTTAGTTTACCAGAGGGTAATGATCATATGCTTATTTTTTCCAACAATCCCATATGCTTATTGGATCCCCCGAGGTACCCCCAGCTAGCTCCCAGGGATCATCCCCACGGCCGCCAAGGTGATCCAAGGTGCGGGAGGAAGAACATGGCTCCCATGCTGACCAGTCCTGCGATTTGTTTAATCGCTGCACTGCGTGTACTGAACGATAGCAGTACTATGATTGTTGGGTACTATGAGGATCCAATACGAATATAAACATCATAATTTTAATACCCTCTGGTTATGACATTCACAGTTTGCCATGGTTTTTCGATGGCTATGATCAATCAAAGATCTATCATGATCAATCCACAATCATCGAACATCTACAATCATCTATTGCTATTCCTATTCAGCAATCATCAGCAATCCTGAGTCAAGATCTCCGCCACCAGCGGTAGCATGTTCATCCGGCATTCAACCATCAATCATTCATCACCCTACAAGGCCAATGGTTCAAGAGTTCATCGTTCAGGGGTCGCGGAGGCGGCGGATAGCCAGAAATCCTCCAAAGTCCATCATGGATATGAAAATATCATAAAATATCTATGGTCCATCATTAATTGTAAAACTGATATCCATGGATATCCATCATATCTACATCATGGTCTATGTTTTACAATATGTTGAACGAGAGATTTTCCATGGGATGAGATATCAGGGATCCCCATCATGGCCTATGATGGCCATTGGACTCTTGAAGACAGACAGCACGTTGAACTCCTGCCAAGCCGCCAAAAGGCGCCAAGTGGAATTGAGATGGATGAAAACATTAGGGCCCTTTTTTAGATAGGGATGGGTCAAAACCCTGGTACCTAGTGAACCCCAAAATAGCTGGTAAATGGATGTTCATCCCACTAAAAATGGTATTAATAGGTATTGACCCATACACAGATAGACATCAAATACTCTGCGGGAATCAAACGTGACAACTGAAAATCCTCAAACTAACTGGATGTCTGCAACATTGTGCAAACCATATCGGATTGCCATATTGGCTAATAGAGATAATGATGTTTCACCAATGGATTCACGGGTTTTCCCTCAGAGAAACCCCAATTGTTAAGATCAAAACTTGCTGCTCCTCTCGTTGCTCCAAGTAGTTGAAGGTTCCCGAAGGTGCTAAACCCAAGGGGTACTTCAGTTTGGCCTCGTTGCAAAACACGGAACGAACAAACACGGATCCTCCAACAGGGCCACAACCCTGCTGGTATGTGTATATATAATGATATACTTTTATATATCTATATTAAATATATATATACATATATATATATATTTATATTTATGTAATGATATACTTATATATAATAATATAATGAGATAATGTATAATATATTTTTATGTATATATATACACAGAATGGTCATCAATGGCTCTCCATCACGGCTGCCAATCCTTTGCCCCGTCTTCTGTATGGTTATCCAACATTCTCCACCCCCGTTCTGTTGGTGAACTGTTGTGAAGTTGTGATAATTCACCCATCGAACATGTCACTCTTAGTCGTGGTCATGGGATAAGGATGGATAAGGCCATTCGAACACGAGTTAAGAAATTCTGCGAGCTTGAAATGGCAAATCTTAAGCCACACCCATGGTATATAATTCCCAGAAAATGAACCTTCATGAAAATTCAATGACTGGGGGTGCATCCCCTACGCTTCCAACAATCCTCCATGATGCAACAAATCGCCCTCCAAGCAGCTCCCTTGCCATGTTCAAAGTCCGCCATGTAAGCTCCTCAGCTGCGGGGTGCCGGGAAAACTCGGGACTCTGCGCCGGTGTGGGGAGCATATGTTTACATCCGTATTACATATACGGTATATTCATAATACAATCATGGGTGTCTAATATACTCATATTATATACATATACATATATATATATATATATCATTCAGCAGCACTTGGTGTTTTGACCCTAAAGACGCGTCTGCGATCCAGGGATATGATACATGTGAATTCGTCTTTACAACTTCACTCTGCTTATGGCTTCATTTGGGCTCGCCTGTACGGGTGCAGTGTTTGCAAGCCTCGTATCTCTTTGAAGCACTTGCGCTACGAACACTAGCACACTTGGATGACTGGTGCCATTTGTGACCACCTTGCGTGATCCATACATCGTGATTTATGCCGTGGAGCCTGAGTGTTTCATTCTCCTCATCTCGGCATTTGATCGTCCTCGTTAGGACTTCAATCTCACGTTCATGATCTGAAATGATCTTCAACAGGGCACGGTCACCAAGATTAACAGTGGATTCTACTCGTTCATCTAGAAGGGATTTCTTGGAGTTATGAGTTCCATTGCAACAACGTTGATAGCAGCAAAAACAGCAAGATGAAAACAAAAGCACAAAAAAGTTCGACACAAAAACGATGAAAATCACAAAAACTGAACTCCATCCAAGTTCTGTTGGTTCCTCACTCACTGAGCAACTGCCATTGCCTGAGCCCGACGTCATAGGGCTCGATGTCGCCATCGGCAGCAAGAACATGCAAAGCAACGCAAAGAATGTATAGCGGAAGTTCTTGGGCACCAAGCAATGCGAGGCCAGAAGCAGCGCTTGAGTGATCTGCGTATCTTCATATTCTAAGTTCGTTTCGTCGTCAATCTCCAGTTTTGGAAGTCGCCTGCCACAGATGATGTGTTTTCCTTCGTTACGAAACTGCACAACCCCAGAGGAGAGAAGGTGAAGCAAAGGTCCAGAATGCATAGGTTTAGTGAGAGGGTCTGATGTCATCCACTGCGTTGGAATGAGAAAGAACCATCTGATTCGACCGCAAAGTCGAGCCTCTTTCAGAGCAAGAATGTAAATTCTCTGAGAGCGATCTTGCGGTAATGATTTACTTCCTGTCACCAGCTCAAATAAATCTCTGCAATCTGTGTAATGATCAATTGGCAGCTCTTCGTGTCCTCCTTCTTGCAATGCAGCTAAACGTTGTAGGCTTGGCTTCTTCTCTGGCAAAATCAGCTCACTGATTCTCAATGTCACCAAGCTAGAGGTTTCCATACCGTTGATGGCCGCCAGCGTCTCACCATGCGACGTCGAATACGATATCCGCTTTGATTTGGAGCCTTGACTCCAAAGAACATGAGCACGGCCACCAAAGGTCTCTTCAGAAATCTTTTCACCATCAATGTCATAGTCTGCCGTCTCTGGAAGTCTGTCCTCAATCAGTAAAACCAAAACTCCTTCCTGTGCATAGTCGCGCTGTTTGGATGGCGCACTGGCATCGTGGACACAAGCCAAACGCCACTTTGAGTCCGGCCTGAACTTTTGATAGACCAAACCCAAATCTCTGAACTTGGGATCCTTGGCCTTCTGCACAACCAAATTGGCTGCTTTGAGATGTTTGACCTTGGACTTTGTGACGTAGCTCTGAAGAACACCAATGTCAGCAACTAAATCCAGTCTGGTTGCCGCCAACCATAACAGGCCACCCAACTGCGAACGCAATGTTGACTGTTCCTCTTTGGTGAGGTCTCGCTCGTCATTCAGTGAGTTCGCAACTGGCACTTCCTTGAGGTTCGCACAGAAATCTGATTGGTCCATACGAAGACCAGTGTTGGTTGAGCTATACCTGCTTCCACAGTGTGAGAAGGGAAGCTTCTCTTGTGATACCTTGCCGTACTTGACTGTCAGAGCTTTGTACTGTTGATCCAAGAAAGCACGGTTGGCACACACAGCTAAATCATCAACATGTGTCGTGATAAGTGCAGTGAGTCCTTTGTCTTTCCAAAAAAATAGGTTCTCATCCAAAACTGATTGACATCCTTCTTGGCTTTCCAAATGATCATGAATGTTCAACTGCCATGCCAAAGGGGCATCATTCAATCCATATATTGGCTTTTCGCAAATCAGCAACCACTCATCAAGTTCATGCTCAGGAACTGCAAATGAGGCGTCAAATTTCGCCAAATGACGCCATGTGTTTGCTGGTGGAACCACTGCAACAACACGAACTGGTGTGGAAATGCCTTTTCGCTGGAGAAGCTGTCGAACACGCTCAAATGAAAAACCTTTGAGAAAAGCACCGGAAATGTCCCAACTTTCCATGGTCATGTTGTATAAAGTGCACATAGATAGGACAAGACGTTGTGACAGTCTAGTGGCTGTGGTTGATCTGGTAGGCATGTCATATCTCTGTGGATCTAAGAAACCACGTGCGCAAAGTCTACTTGTGGCTTTTCGTGAGCCATCACTCATCCGCTTGAACTTGCGCACCCAGGTGCAATCCACAACTACCATGTCATCTGTCACCTTTGTTTTGTGCACTTTGGTAAATGCTTTCTCCTGTATGAACTGTCGCAACTCAGCCTCATCTGCCACTTCAAATTCATGCCAGTGTTGACAAAGATCTTCATCTGTGAGAACTTGTGTATCTTCATCAACACGAAAAACATGTCCTTCTCGAATGTCTACATGTAGAACTGCTTGCTTCTTACATGGAAGACTGAAGAGAGCTTGTGAGTGATGGACCATGTTGTGATTCTTATTGAGGAACTCATTCTTGTCTACAGTCATGTTCTCATAGAAACAAAGTGGGTCCCAATTCACTCGAATCGGTCTCTGCAGCATCCACCACAAAGATCGCAAATGCAGTTCTTCCAAGGAAATGGCAAAATGTGTCTTCTGTCGTTTACGTTCCTGTCCAATGATCACTGTTCTGGTCTCTGGGCCGTCTCGTTTGAGTGATGTGCGATGATGTCCATCTCGCTCATCCATCTCTATGTCTGGAAGAGACATGGGAGCTGACGTACTTGCATTGCTTGGTGGCTGTCTTGATGTCGATTTGATAGGTCCAGTGGTTTCCTCAAAGAAAACATAGCAATACAGGTACATGGAGCTAATGTCATCCAGAACTCGCAGCATTTCCTTCTTGATGGAGATGTGCTGGTCTGTCAAATGTTCGGTCATCACACAATCTTTGGTTCCCGTAGGCCAACAAATGAGAATGCCCTTGGTATACTTTGGTACATAGATTGACTTCAAGGCTCTACCATATCGAACACCATGAAACAGATTCATGTTGAAATACTTTGCTACCATGCTGGCATCCCGTATCACCTGATCCTCCTGCATGTTCAGATCTGCAGGAAAGTTCTTCCAAGATTCTGCTCCGGTGTTGGTGTCCTTGATGTAGATCTGGCCACGTGCATGCATGCGATATGGTGTGCAATGATCAACAAGGTGTTGTAGTCTGTGCAGTGCTTGCTCTTGTACTGCGTGATCATCTTGATTAAAGAAATGACCTCGAAATGGACGTATGTGTCGAATAGACATCAAGTATGCTCGTCCTTGGTACTTGACAATGACAGTCCCATTGTTCTCATCCAGATCAAGAAGTTGAGCTGGACCTCTCCAACCATGACCGGCATTGGCAGGATCTTCTCTGAAAATTTCAACTTCAGTCATTCCTGGAATCATGGCTGTCGTGTCAATGTGTTGAGGTCTGGTTCGTCCTGCACGAAGCATTCTGTCCTCAATGATTGATCTCTGTGACGCAGCAAGAGCAATCTGCCTGAGACGTGCTGCTCGCTCAAAAGTGGATGTTGTAGGATCAGCTCCTTCTACTGCAATGTTCACCGCATCAACGTTCATGAATCCTCGAGGGAGCACTCCGAAAACACACATCGCTGGCGTGTATCCACCAAAATTCAGAGTGCTATTCTGTGCCATCAAAGATTCTGATAGGAGCTCTTCCTTTTCCACAATGATGTTGTATCGAGCAGCTTCCTCCTTGATCTTGAGCATGCTGTTTTTGGTCAGGTCAATGTGTTTCTCCACAAGACCTGTTCCAGTGTGTTTCTTTCCTTCACGGCCAGTGGTTGTTCCTTTGGGTTTCCTTGCGATGTGAAGGCGATCCATCTCAGCGCCAGCATCTTGAGTCATAATGGACGATTCTTGGTCTGCCACTAGTTCTCTTGGTGGTCCAAAGAAGCGAAGCCAATTGTTGATGAGACAGTTGAGGATGGAAGATAACTCGCGGCTTTTCAACATGCCACCACTCTTGAACCGTGTCGCCTCGTCCACAATGATCAGGAACATGTCGCCCTGAAAGTAAAAGATGTCCACCTGGATGCATTCATTGAAATCACAAGCAAGGCTAGTCTTGACCTGTGGCCGTCTTGTTGCACGGACAAACTTGCGACAAACTGTGCAAGAGGAGACTGCTTCTGGTGCTAGTCGAAGTACTTCTGGTGGCATTCCACATCTTGAAAGAATGTTGCGAAAGTCAGAGATTGGACAATGCCAAAAACGTTCATGAAGTCCCAGAAGTAACCTCTTTGCAGCTTGTTCATCTGATGATGCAAGTGCTGGCAGTTTTCGATACACACGACGAAAGTCGTAAGTGGGCTTGATGATTTCTTCCTTGGCTGATTGGTCAATCGCTTCCACTGCCTCTTCTTCATCTGTTTGATGTTGATGTTCTTCTCCATTTACTGCTTGATTCTGCAACGCATCGGAGTCGGCAATGCTGGGTTCATAGTCCGTCTTCTGATCTTCATTTCCAGCATATGGTGGTTTCAGAGGTTCTTCAAGAATCTCTAATATTGGATCAGGCTCTTCTGGTGCTGGTGTCTTTGGAGCTCCAGTCAAGGCCTTCGACAAAGGTGTGCCAGGAGATCGCTTGGTAGTTGGAGTAGTAGGAGAGCTCTGATATTTCTTAGCCTGTGTGCTTGATGAAGAAGGTGCAGCTGGTGGTGCTTCTTCTTGTGGATCAGTTCCAAAAAGCGTGACCAACCAATCCATGTCAATGTCGGTAGGTTCATGCCATTGATGATTGGACATCTCTCGTAGGTCTTCAACTGGAAACATCTTCCAACTCCACATCTGTCCACGCAGCATCAATCGCAGATATCCAGATTCAATTCGAAGTGTTGGTGTTGGCAAAGGTTTCGTCCAAGGCTGAACATGGGTACAAAGTCCAGAGACTCTCATGACTGGCGCAAAAATGATTTTCATCCACTGCAGAATGATCGGATCTTCAAGCCAATAAACATAGGCATTTTTGTTGGTTCCTTGATGCCGAACTGAAAGCTCCAAGATTCGATATAGTGAATGCTTCAGAATCTGTCCATGTTCTTCATTCAGAGGAAGTTCAGGAAGGGTGCTCAGCTTGGCCTCTCTAAGACGTCGATTGTTCACCGCGTCATCGCGATAAAGATCCAAGGGTGTCTTGCTGGCATCCTTCTCACGTTCGGCAATCTGCTCCTTGATGGTCTTGGGTTTCTCATTCTGTGGCCACCGACCATATCTGCATTCGCCAGGCATGAAGGTGTGTTGTTCAAAGTCTCTGGCCCATCGTCCCAGGTTACAGCGAGGACACGTGTAGTAGTGCTCCTCAATCTCAGGATCATCTACATGAGCTGCATGAATGCGGCTGCAGAAGAGCTTGATGTCCTTGACAATTGCTCGGCAAAATCTTTCAGGATACATCGCTGCAAGAGCAGTTCGATTGATACCTTGATATTGACCTTGCAGCCAAGCATGTCTTTTGCCTCCATGTCCTTTGCACAAACTGCATGAATATCGTAGTTCAAAGTTGGCCTGAAGACCAGTGGGTTTGAGCACTGGTTCACCATTCTCATCAGCTGCGCCATATCTGCATTGGTCGGTTCGAGTGCAGTGCCCTGGATATTCTGTGTCTCGCCATATGTGAGATGACCAGGGGTGTTCGACAACAAAACCTCGATTCTTGCGATCTTGTTCTCGTGCTGATTCTTGTATGTGACGAAGACATGGTCTCTCTGCTTCTCTTTCTTCTTCAACTTTCTCAGGTGAGCTGCGATTGAATGAGACTGACCATGGCCTACATGTTGGCTCCATGACCATGACATCTGGCTCCATTGTTTTCTGGACTTCTCGTAGTAGAGCTTGATGTGGACCATAGCCAATGTCCCAGCCATATCGCAGGTCAACAGGAAAGATCACAGTGAGTCCGCAGAGAAGGGCAATCAGAGACAATCGACCGCTACCAGAGCACAATTCCCAGAGATGATATCGTCCTTGATTTCGATGTTGTTTCATCCACTGTCGCACATTGTCTGGGCGCACCACTGGTCTGCGTGTCTTTGTATAGAACATCTCTGGGAGAGCAGCATAGCGTTTGATGAGGCGTTTCTTGTGGTCTTCAGTGATGTGGTGAGGAAAGAAGTCACCTTGATAAGATTCAAGCTCACTGTCTTGATACATCTGATCTGTTTCATCATGGATTTGAAATTGTTCAGGCCTGTTGCATGAAACAAGCTCAAATGTTGTGGATCCTGTCCAACGATCGTGAAGAAGTCGATCATTGCCGTCATCAGACCACTGATCGGACTTTTCTTCACTGTGTCCATCTTGGTAGTGAATCTTGGTTGTTCGCTTCTTGCTCAGTTGGGAAATGGGCACTGGACAATGGTCTGCTTGAGGAACAAACAAGGCCAAGCGAGGACGAGTATGAAACTTCACAATCTTGCCATTCTCTGTGTCAATCTCCCATCGGTCCTTGTTGTGGTTGTTGTCAAGTGTCGTGGCTTCACCCTGCTTAGGCTCCATCAGGGCCGCCTGTGGTGATGTTGAGCTGGTGCTGAAAGTTGATTGAATGTCATTGTGGATGTCGTTCCAATGTTCTGATGAGTGTTGAAAAATGGATCGTAAGTAGAAGTTGATCTTCACTTGCTCTTGTTGATCAACAGGTTCTTGAGAGTTATCAATTGGGAGAATATAGTGACCAGAGTCTGTCAAGAGAATCCTCAGTGCTTGGATCTTGTTCTCTTTCTCATTAAGGGGATCTTTGTAGACAAGCAGACCATCTCCGTTGGAAAACCATTCTGTCATCACTCCAGCATGGATTCGCCGCAAAGATGGGTTCGGCAGAAGAGCTGGACACAGGCTTCCTTCATTTCCAAGAACATCTGCAGAAAAGGTGCCCATGAGTTCTGGTCCAAGATGAAAAGGGAATGTCACATGTGCCAGCGTGGAGTCATTCTGACCTGAGATTCCAGTGACTGATGTGGATCGATCTGACCACTCAACCATCGATGGTTTGTCTCTCAGCATGGCCACGTTGTCGAGGATATCTCTGAGTGTTTCTGACCCAATGATGCCTGCACTGGCACCAGGGTCCACAAGTAGGCCTCGACGCTTGGAACCTCGAACTTGATGAAAAATGGTCGAGGGTTCATGGAACATGGGAAAGGCCAAAGTTTTGGTCGGCAAAGAAGTCTTGTTCTCTGCGGCACTTGTCATAGACGTCTTGTTTCCAAATGAAAGTACCTCTTCACTTCCTCGCGGCTCATTCATAGTTGTGGTAGGAGATGCAGTTGATGACATGGTTAGATCGGGTTGTGATGTCTCCGCAGGAAGACCCGATCGTGCATGATGAAGCTGCAGCCGATCTCGTTCTTGTCGACTGATGAAATAGTCATTGTTCCAGTTCCATGCATAGGAATCGTCATAGTCCTCTCCATCCACATAGTGTTTGCCGTAGCCCTTGCCTTTGCCTCTCCATGAACTCCAAGGGCGACGGTAGAAGCCGCGAGACCATCCAGGTTTTCCTTTTCCTTTGCCTTTCCAAAACTTGCCTTTTCCTTTGCTCTTGCCTTTGAACTTGCCCTTGCCATAGCTGGAGTTCGACATGGGACAAACTGAAGCCTCATGCCATTTTGAACCACAAACTGTGCATCCGATGCCAAGGTTCTTCTTGTAGTTGACATTGGGAGACTGGTCTTTGTTGTATTCTTGATCTTCAGCTCCGGCAGTTTCAGAAGACGGTTGTTGTGAAGTGGGATCTTCTGGCCACTGCTCTTCGGACCAGTATTCATCAGGCCATTCTTCGTAGTACTGCCCAGAGCCATCGTCATAGTCATCTCCTTCATAGTACCAGTCTCCATGCCAATAGTTGGAACCCTGCCAATCTTCCGATGACCATGCATCATCGCCAATGTAGTACTCTTCAGTCTGCTCATAGTGGTTGTTGGCAGCATCAACACCTTGGCGGTGTGCCAGACGAAGAGCAAGAGCACGTGCATCGTTGAAGCGATTGAGGTCACCTTGGATTTGCATAAGGATGTCATCAATGTGGCGTTGTGGCAATTGGCTTCCTCTGAAGTACAAAAAGGTTCTCGCAACATTGTTGATGTCCAAGCCAGCATGCGCCATTGCTTCTTCCATTCGCATGGTCCACTCAGCACTGTATTCTGCTAGACTGAGACGTCCACGACGAAAGTCAAAGAAGCTCTCAAGAGATTGAGTGGCGCGGACCTGATCTCCTTCACCAAAAGCATCACGCAAGGCGTTGAAGAGAGCTTGAACACCAGAAACAATGGGGTGCTGAATGATCATGGCTGGATTGTTTGGGTCTCTTACCTCATCAACTGCTAATCTCACCAACGCAGCGTCACCAACATCTACATTTCCATGAGGATCAGGCAATCGTAATGATAAGGCTATTTTCTGAGCCCTGCCGCCAAGTCTTCCTGCAAGAAGAGGACCAACCGTTTCGTCCGGTCCATCATACAGCCGATACCACATACGGACACGGTCCAGGTACAGACGCAGGCTGTAATCAGGAATGCCTGGCATCCAGCCGGGCGGCACATCCTTTCTGTATTCAGATAATGGAATGCCCGTAGGCGCAGGTCCACCTGCGGTGGTCATGATAGGATCGCAGACTTCTGATGAACTACTTCCAACAAAACAAGGGATGCAAAACTCCTCGTCAAGGATGTAGTGATTCCACTGATGTGTGTTGGGTTCAAATGACTGATGCTTGCAGCACTGAGTTTCTTGAAACTTATTCGAATTGAGGGTGTTATTCACGGGGAAGTCCAAGCAAATGCCAAAGAGCTCCACAGGGGTGCTAAAGCAAGTGCCAAAGAGCTCTACAGGGGTGCTGAAGCAGCCTGGCGAGCAAGTGACCTGGATATACTCAGTGGTGCAAAGCAGCAGCAAAAGAACCTGGATAGCGAAGCGCGCAAAGAGCTCTGCCAGAAGCGCAAGCCCAGCAAAGCACATGCAAACAGCCAACGGTACGATACGACCGAGTGGCTACCTTGGTCCCTGGAGCACGAAGCTCCGCTACCAGATTCAGCAGCACTTGGTGTTTTGACCCTAAAGACGCGTCTGCGATCCAGGGATATGATACATGTGAATTCATCTTTACAACTTCACTATATCATTGCAAATGTAGTCTATACAGTCTATACATAATACAGAATACATCCTCAAACAACATCTAACACCTTCAACTCTGCTTCCATCCGAGTCGTCAAAATCTGCCCCAACGGTGACCACGAGCCACGCCTTGAATCTTCACGGCACCGGAGTTCTCTACCGCTTCAATGCGAACAGGATCGAAGCTCAGGAGAGGATGTACCACCTGAAGTCCCGATAAAAACGACCAGAAAATGTATGAAAATGTCGTGTTAGTGACTCCGAAAAAAGAAGACATCTGGTTTTTCCATATTTCTAAACGCAGATTCTAAACTTGAATCAAAAAGATGTTTCATAGTGTCACTTATTTATATACATAAATCAGGACGGAGACGTCACCAGCAGTCAAGGTCGAATCTGGCAACTGGACCACCAAGCAGATCTATGATGGGATGGTACCAACGGTGGGTATATTCCTCACAAAATGAGGAAAGCCGGAAAGCCCATGAATTTATCAACCAAAATCCCACCAGAATGGAAAAATATAAGGAAAAATAGCCTCCAAAAATGTCATGTCGACATGGAAATTCCCTCAGTTTCCCGTTCAGAAAATGCTGGCAACCGATGCGACAGGTTAAAACCATATCCAGTGAAACCTGCAGGCCTGCAGCAAATGAGGGCCGGCGGAGACACCGTTCAGGGCAAAGTGCCTGGGTCGGTTACATCGGTTACATTGATTGGTCTATATTGATGTCTATGAAGATTGATAATGAAATATTATGAATATAAATCAATAGATTCTTTAAAGAAAAAAAGGCCTGGGTGAGCTAGGAACGGATTGATTCAATGGAAAATCTGCGATTTCATGCCGGAAACATATGTTGTTTTTTTCCCTGTAGATGTTCCCTCTGCAATTTGAGGAAAGCATCAAATTTACCAAGCGGGTTCCTGTGTGTGTGTGTTCCCTTCATCCAATTACCCTCTGGTAAACTAACATAGCTATGGAAAATCACCATCTTTAATAGGTAAATCAACTATAAATGGGCCATTTTCGATAGCTATGTTAGTCATTACCTGAGGGTATATATCCAATTGAGCATAGGCACATACTTGGCACGTGGTTTTTTTTGACCAAATAAGGATTGGACCAACAGTACTTGGACGTTGATGCTATGAGTTTGGGAATCCATCTCCAATAACAGTGCTACGGAAGATGAGTAGGGAACCAGTACAGAGTATAGTGATGATGTGTATGAGTCACTCTTGCGCTCTCCAATGGTAGTCAACACCCTGATACCTTGGTTACCATCCCATTGATGAAGCGAATAGAATGGACCGTAAAATGGGATGGTCATTTACCCATTTCGCCGTATTTCATCTGACCTGAGCGCCAAATCATCACATAGTTGGCCACAAGAACTGGGAGGAGCGCCATGGTATCCAATATGTAAACTAACACAACATGTGGAAAACCGGTGCGAAAACCCGAAACCCGAAATGATCTATAAATGGTGGGCGTAAACCACATCGATGTTACCGGTATCCGAAGTGTTGGTGTTTCGCCATGTCTTCATCTGACTTCGTCTCTTGGTGCAAGCAGGTAACCCATCAGAGGCCGGCAGTGTTGAGAGCACACCTAGCGTCCAGCTGGAGATCCAACGTTGGAGGATCATCTCATCCCACCGCATCTCTGGTTAGTGGGGCTATAAGCCACATATAGAATAACCCATATATACATATATATATATACATATATATATATACATATACATATATACAGTTAGGGGACCAGCCCATCACCAGCGTTATTCAATGTTATTCACCACCAAGTGTGACGAAGTGGAATGATCCTTCAAGCACCCCATTCATGCAAACTTGGCTTATTGGCTTAGATACTTGGATATTGGGTCAAATTTGGGTATCAAAAGATGCTTCACCACCACAAAAATCCATAGATGTCCGATCCCATACCAAACCTGTGTGCTGCCCAATTAGAGATCATCATCTTGCCTCTTGGGGCTGTTCAATTCTTCAAGCACTTCAGTTTGGACAGTTGATGCTTAAATGCATATAGCCCTGCCTTTTTTTGTTGGTCAACACGGCTAGTCACTTTTGGGGGTTCCCATCATAATTGGTCAATTCCAGCCTTTTTTTGTTGGTCAAGTCCCTGTCAAGAACCCATTTGGCCCATTTGGCAATGGATCCGAATCCTCATCCCCCTATTGTAGTACCATGTTTGGAGGTCTTGGCCCCCTTTTGTGACACATTTTTGAATAGGCCCATCTAGTTTTTAAGTGCACCGTTTTTGGAATTTTCCTTTCCGTTTCTGAATCTGTGGCATCATCGCCTCCATCCAAGATCACCCGGGCGGCAGCTAGACCAGCCCCAGCAGCGCTGGTCGCGTCCTACCGCTGCATTTTTCAAGTGATAGCTATGGCCATTAAAATGATCTGTCCACCTATTGAACAGCAGGGTTTAGTCATCCAGGGCTGACACTACTCCGATTGTTGGAAATAGAAATGATCAAACTTGGCGATTTTGTGGATAACTTGAACCATAGCCAGAGATCCTGGTAAGAGACTCAAAGAAGAATGAGTGTAGGCTGTGGATTCCAAGATCTTAAACAGAGGAAATCGTTCACAGGGATCCACGGCCAAATCCTGCTGCAGGGAAAGCCTCAGATTAGGCTAATCATAAACTGCACAAGAGGATCGACAGTTTCTGAATGACACCATTTGAAAGAACAAGACTCAACAGCCTCACAGAAAGCCTTTCAAACGTGGTCAATTGGATCTCTTCATTTTACTTCATTCTTCGGTTCCCATATAGGTGGTGGAGTTTTACCCTTCGTTTCTACATTGCTGACTATTGTCTATGATTCTCTGGTACTGGTTGGTGGTATACCTACCCATTAATCACCATTAATCACCATGAAAAACCATTAATCACCATTAATCACCACTAATCACCATTAAAAGCCCATATGGTGACATATTCTTATTATTGGAGTTGACACGGCTGACGGAGTTTCCCAGCCTGGAACTTGTGGGGGATGCTCACCCGGCCCTTGATCTGGCCAGTCTGAGCCCTGGCACAAGCCACAGCACCGGTAGCCGGTGACAGACGACTGGAAGCTACGACCAAAGATATAGGTGGTTCTTTGGCATGGTCGAGATGGCTTCTAATGTAGTGTATGTTTCGATAGATTGTGTCTTTTTCGATTGATGAATAGTAGCTGATAATTGCAAACCACTGAAAAATTGGTGGTTTAAGAAAAATGTTTCTTTAAAACAAATGTGATTTGGAACCAACCCCTACGCGATTCAAGGAAAATGACTTGCTTTTGACGATCAAAAAGGTAAACTTTTGTCCACAAAACTGTGTCGCTTGGGTAAGATCCCCGTTTCATCCTTCGCTTATTCCTTGATATGTTCAGGAAAGCAACGTAAAGTCCTCAGATGTTCACACTTTCTCATTTAATTCCATACACTGATGTTTTCTTAGGAGGGCCGCTGCAGGGCCAACCAATACACACAATAGTGTTCACATCCCAAACTCCACAACTCATTTTTTGACATTACCCTTCAAGTTCCACGCGCGCGCCCAACGGTACTAGCAGCTGTTAGATTTAGAAAGTAGGAGGTTGTATTTCTTCAGTGTCAGTGTGTCATAAGAAGCGGGATTACTTGTGCAAAGCTCATTCAGCCCTGTTTGTGAGGCTTTTCTCACTGGGATGTGAAAGTAGCCATAGCAGGGGACATGACAATGAGCTGGTCCATCCGCTTGAATTGAAATTAAGCTGGAAGAAGAAACTGGCTAGGCGTCGATTTAATTTTGTTTGCGCCTTGAACTTCATGCGTTTCACGGGATTGCTGGACAGAACGCTCTCCAATCGCGGCACCCAACGCACATTTGGGGCCATGTTGCAAACCGAAGGGGGACGTGGCAGGGCCAACAAATGGCCCTTCCAGAGCGTCGGAGCAAAGCAGCTCACGCGCAAACCGCAAATTCAAGTCGGGACGTCCCAGATCGAAATGCCCCAAGGCTCCAGAGAAAAACTTGAAAAAAACAAGCTGATCGCACCCGAAAAGTTGGTTTTAATCAGCCTTGGCGGTGGAGGCTTCTGCAAATTCAACCCGGGACGTCCCAGCTTGAAATTCGGATTTGGGTGCCGGGGGTTGCTTTAACACAAGCTGTCCAAGGATAAATTTTGGCAAGGTTTTCTTAGGCAGCCGTCAGTGCACAAAGGTCAAGGCCACTGCGCGTCCATGTGTGCCCACATGATATGTAAGGACGTCCTAGTTGTGAATTTGACTGTCACTTCAGCCGTTGCGTGCCCGACATTGCCCGACTACGTCCTAATATAAAGAATTTCTGGCTGAAACTGATCACAAGAACAATATCAGGGGGCTTATAAGAAACCCGCAGGTGCAAGAAACAAATCGGCACACCTTCGACGCCCTTTACAGATCCATTTCAGACACTGTAGACATACGTTGCATACCCTCGCAAAAAGATTTTGGCTTAAATGCTGCTCAAGATCCAGCAGATACTCTCATGGGACCTTATCCATTCAATTTAAACTAAACTTAGTCCCACGCAAGTGCGTCACGAAAGTGAAGTGTGTGACATAATGCCTTTTTTGTTGGCCCTGCAGCGGCCCTCCTAAGAAAAGATCAGTACACCGACTATGGAGGGTTCGGTCAATCCCAGATGAGGCAAACAATCGCTTGGCCATTGACTACTGCTAGCATGGATTGGATCAAAGGTTCAAACAATTGGACTCATTTGAGTAATGTCAAGACAGAAGTATCACCCAGTTTCCAAACGGCCTCGCGCTTGGTGAAAAAAAGGGTGCTACATCACCGCCCCCCCCCTTTCTATGCGCCTCACAAGTCCTAAGAGGACGAGCCCGGTGAAAACTTCCCGAAATCGAAGCCGCATCGGGGCACCTCCCGGCCGAGATTCCAACCCTTCCGGGCAGCCGGTTGGCCACGGATCGGTCGTCCAACCAATGTACAACGATCCAATGATCATTGGGGATATGATTGGGATGTAACAGGATGTAGCTGAATAAGAATCCGGCTTAGGTTTTCATCCTGAAACGCTGGACCAAACCCACCAATCAACTGTTGCCTACAGTCTGCTGCAAATTCTTTTTGGAATTGGGAGATCTATCTGTGAATTCCAGGAAAAATAGCCGCCATTTTTTTTTTTGAGCGACGCAAATAGATAGTCAATGATTGTCAGATAGTCAATGAAAGTCATGACAGAAGAAGTGCTTCTGAAAGGTGTCAAAGTCCCATTTCGGGATGATCCTAACCAAAACAAATGCAAAGTCCTCAGCGGTCGTCTACGCCGCGATGGCTTTAAAAAAACTCTGTTTCTGATGAGGTAAACCCAGCAACAAGCCCTCCCCACTTGAAGTATATACCCCTTTATGTATCCCCTAGTTGGGGTGATTGTTTGCCTATTTTTGCCGCAAATGGTTGATGGATGTTGATAGTTGGGGACAGTTTCTAGATCTCATATGTCCATGCCACCGCTGGGGGGTTCTCTGCCTTCGGTCTGCGGTGACGTTTGGTCGCCGCGAACCCCGGGTGCTGTTTTGACTGCTGTGAGCCAAAAATATTCAGCACGCAGTGCGTGGGCAACAGTTGCAGGGAACTTCTGAAATGGCCATTAGGGCAAAGTGGGTACCCTCTGGTTATTCAACATAGCTATGGAAAATGCACCATTCATACATGATTTACTGTACATATTGAAATGGCCATTGTCCGTAGCTACGTGAGATTAACAGAGGGTACGTGTTGTACTGGTTATGTTCAACCCCAAAAACATCAGTGAACCTGGATCATCTCAAATTTGTCCAATCATGGGGTACACGGAAAGTCGCACTGACTATCCCCATATATTGTTGTCCCATTTTTGTGAATGACTGACTGTTTTCGATCATGATGGATTAGTATCGCCATCATGATTTCTGGATCCCCTTTGCTTCTGGATCCCCTTGGGTTTTTCATTACTAAATCTCTGATGTGATAAACCCTATCACGAAATATCCCCATCCACGGCTTGAGTTCTAACAGGATGATGTAAAGGATTCCCTTTTACTGTTGGTCATTGGGATGGTTCATGGCATCAGGTTTACCATCTTACCACATCATTGCAGATCATGATGGTTAGTAAACTATACTTATACCATCTGATATCCCCTTTTACCATTGGCTACATATGCATTTATCTCCCCAGTTGTTGCTTCTAAATCCCCATTTAATCCCTATGTTTCTGAAATTAAATCCCCTAATTGTTCATTGCAATCCCCGTTGCTGAGTGTGGTATATGGTTGGTAATATATTACTATCCTCATCACCCATATATCATACTTTCCATAAGGGATTAATATGTCACTAGATTATAAATTATATATAATTATACATATTAATCCATCTCCATCACTTATGTACAATGCTAAATCCCATTGAAAACCATTAAAAACCCATTAAACACCCATTTTGCAATCCACTCAAAAAACCCTTTTGTTGGGATAAAAAATCCGTTGCGTCCCCAGTTCCACCTCCGAGTTTCGCTGCAGGACCTTCAGCGTGGGAGGCGCTGAAACGTCGTCCCAGGCCTCGAGGAAGTTCAGAATCGCCTGGGGCCCAGGGGATTTGCGACCTGAAAATCGCGGATGTCATCGAATTTCATCGAGAAAATGGGGGGATTTAAGCAAGCAAATGGAGAGTTTAACCAACTTAATAGATGGATTTTTATGGATTTCACCACCAGAAATAAGGGATTTCACCCACCAAACTAGAGGCTTTTCTCCCAAAAATGAGGGGATTTAGCCATGAACCATGGTGTTTCACTATGGTGGCTTAACCATCGACAGATGTCACCAAATCATGAAAAAGCACTGGTTAAGCCACTGGGGTGGATTTAATGAACCAAAATCTGCGGAGAAACAACAAAAATTATGGGGATCTACGAAGTGGGAAATGTGTCACCAACACAAAGTGATCTTGCTTCGTCTGAAAATGGTGCAGGTATACGGAAAAGCTGGGGAGCGTTGGTAACATGATGATAAGATTCTAAAGTGTTTTTTCCAAGAATTTGGCAGTTATCCCAAATTTATGGCAGTCGTATGAAAAAAAATAGTTTGGGGAAGTTCTTTTCAGACAAACCCATATGGGGGAAAATATACATAAGAGATCCATGGGCATTCTGGGGTCCAAAACATGGCCTCAATTCTTTCCTTAGATACCCTGCAAAAAAAAAAACTGTGGCTTAGTATATTCCATTATATGTCAAAAAATGAAGCTTCATTATATTCGTACATAATATATGTAATATATCATCACTTGTACTTGTTGCTTCATTTATATAAGTACTTGGCTTATTACAGCATAGTACAGCAGTTTGCTACGCTTCCAAGTGGGGATCACCAGTGGGTGACCTCCCAAGTCGAAACATGGCTCCCATCCTCTTACGAGTTTTCACCCCTTCACAGCCCACCATGGTCACCAGAGTTGCTGCGTGTTACACGGTTGAATAAGAGATAGAGGTCATTTGAACAGCGGAAAATGGATGATGGTCCTCTTAAAATGGTGAATTATTGAAAGGTGATGGTGATTTATCCCTTAAGAATGCTGATGTTTAAGAGCAAACCGTTGAATTGCCAGAGGGTTTTCTAGTGCGAATCCACCACGATATACCAACAAAGAAATAGGTCAAGAATGGTCAAGACATCACCGGCACCTCTCTAAGTACTTCTTCCTGGGAAAGAAAGCCATCAGGGGGCAGGTTATCGAAGAAGTCCTCCGTGGTTGGTCGATGTTTTGGCGGAATCAAGGGGCCGCCCCAGTCTGATCGAATTGAGTCCCCAATTCTCTAACATAATACGTCCATGTTGTTTGAATGCACTTTTTTGCCACATGATTATTATGTAAGTCCCATGTCTGCTCATTTTTTTGCTGACATTTGCTGACTACGCTCTGGCAATCAAACATGGCAACGTAAAACCCGCATTCAATTTGATGATTTCCCCATTTAAGTGCCCATTTTAGGGAATTTTCCAGCTAGCCATGTTTGATTACTGGAGGGCAAATCTCCATTTCTACCCAGAACACGAAGGATTTAAGGCCATGATCATGAAGGTGATATCCCGACTTGGGGGGTCGCCATGATTATACCCATGACTCCCATGACTTGAAAAACTGCACTCGCAGTGATTTTACGCTATCCCATTATTACATGATTATTACTACTGGCTGGTGGTATACCTACCCCTCTGAAAAATGATGGAGTTCGTCAGTTGGGATGATGAAATATTCCCAATATATATATATATGGAAAAATAAAATTCATGTTCCAAACCACCAACCAGGCTATCATTATTTGTATGCAGTATGATCATTACCATGATATCCCCACAGATGGATGATTTCCCATGGGAAATTCCCGATTTTTTCACCAATGACCGGCTCGCCTCTGGGCTTTTTTTTTCACGTTGGGAATGGGAAACTCGGCATTTCGAATGGGTAAATCATCGCAAGTCATCTATTTCTGTGGGCCAAGGATTCCTTGGCAAACTGTAACCAGAGGGTATAATATCCCCATTGATGGATGATTTCCTGTGAAATCGCCATGAAAGAAATCAAACCAATCATCCAATTGGAGCTTTCCGAAAATGCTACCCTCAAATCCAAGTCATTAGATCATTTGAGTATTGAAACAACCATGGTTTTCACCTGGTTTTCATCCATGTTATTTTCGGATCCCTTCACCATCCAGCTATTGAAGGTACCCCCAACCTGTCACCCAATCACCGTCCTGAGCTTTGCCATCCAACAGATCGGCAGCCTACCCATTCATTGAGGAACCACTGAACCACCAGGACTTTTGAGAAACTTAATTACAATCCATAGATGCTGTAGTAACTGTGGTAGCTAGTACATGGCTATGAATGCCAAATTCTCTGTGTGGGTCAAATTCAGCGAGGCTGAGTTTTGGATGCAGATCGATAGCAACCCGTTTAATCATACTACGCACAGCTGGGACAAAACATACCATAGCCATCTAGCTACCACATCATAACCTGATAATGATCCTACAATATCCTACAATGATCACAATGGGTCACTACAAAGTAACATTTAAATAGCCATCATTTACACGTCTAATCCACATCTGAATCAACATATACTAGCCCAAATCAACATATGAACCATATTCATCGGGGTGCCAATTCATTATGTGAAGCTGTGCAGGAGTTTTAGAGCGGTCTAACTTTTGTGCATAGCCTCAGGCTTTAAAATGCACCAAAACAATGAAAACTGGCTCTGCAATAAAATGCCTTGCCACCAAATTCATGCTTGAATGTGCATCCAACATCATCCAATTTCATCCAATTTTGAAGACCCTCAGAAACGCATCTTTAAAAAGAGGTCAGGAAATCCATTTTAGATAGGGGTATTTTAGAGTGAAGGTGCCCAAATATTAAGTGTGTTTCTTTTTTATAGTATTTTATAGCAACAAAATACGGTGGTATTCTTTCGTGGCAATTCCTTAAAATTCCTTAAAAATCCTTTAAATTCCTTAAAATTCCAAAAAACTCCTTAAAAGTCCTTAAATATCCTTTAAACTTTAAAAACATTAAAGATCCTTAAAAATCATCCAAATTCCTTCAAATTCCGTCAAATTCCTTTAAATTCCTTAAAATTCCTCTAAGATTCCTTAAAGATCCTTAAAACTCTCTAAATTCCTTAAATTTCCTTATAATTCCTTCAAAATTCCTTAATATTCCTTATAATTCCTTCAAAATTCCTTAATGTTCCTTAAAATTCCTTGGAATTCCTTCAAATTCCTTAAAATTCGCTGATCTAAAATGACATGCCCAATAAAATCGATATAAAAAGATCCTGGAAAAGCATTGGTTCCATTCTGCAATAAAATGCTCCAAGCAAACATGTTTTTGCAATAAAATGAGAATGGAATTTTAACATGTTAAAAATCATCAGGATTTACCTTTACAATAAAATGCTTAGCCCAACCCCCCAACAATAAAATGACTAGCCTGACATCAATTTTAAAATTCCAATACATTAAGAATTTCGTTTAAACTATGCACAGGTTCACCAGTTCTAGAGTGGAAATTGCCACGGGGATCCATATTCAACATAGTAACGAATTATCACACTTTTAATTTAACATTCATCTAAGCCTATATATATATATATATGTTATTATATGTTTATACAGTATATATATATGACTTTACAGCCCCTGAATCAACGTCATCAACGTCTCAAAAAACTCCCAGGGCGTAGAAGTGACCGCCTCCATGACTTCATCGGCGACGTCAGCGTTCACCTGGCCCTTGGCGGCGCAGCGATTTTTTTAACTGGCCCATGGCTTGATATATTGTGGTTGATTACCCTCTGGTAAACTAACATAACTATGGAAATTGATCCATTTGTAGTTGATCTACCTATTTTGAATGGGGAAATGCTGGGAACTATCACTTGGATTCACTTGGATCATTGATGATAATTGGATAGGAACTGATCTACTGGTGGATAGGATCTCGTATGGGAATGATCCAAGAGAAGACTGAAAAAATCTGGAACCCACCAGTCGCATTCATAGTAGCTTCATGGCAATACTGGATCATCATTATTTAGCTTATATATATATAATATGTATATATACAGATAGATTACCTATACATTACTTATAGCTTACATCATCCATCATAGCCGACCGTCAGATCCAAGGAGTTCATCGGTCCCATTCTGCTGCAATGGAATGTCACCCCTCTGGTGAATGTGATGCGAATGGAAAATGAATGAAAATGGCCCATAGAAATAGATGATTTGCCACTTGAAAATACTTGAAATATCTTGAAATATTTTCTGATTTCGCCAAGTGACTTCAATCACAGCGCAGCGCCTCTGGAGATATATGATGATTTCGCCACCCGTATTTCGCCACCCGTTGACTCATCGTTACCCGTTGACGAAACATCCCCGTTTTTTTCAAACGACCGGCCTCCCGATCTCGAGGGAAAATGATCACCTGTCAGCAGAAGCTGGGCCATGAAATACACATGTATAAGCAGGTCTATCTCTGTCAACAACTCCATCTATGTATAATGTCATACTTTGTAATACATATTGTACATAATATAAAGTATGAATGTATTGAGAATATTGATATATCCGACACAAAAACATCAGGATGCTCACTTCAGAGCCACCTCTCCTTTTCGCAAACAGGTCCCGTGTTGAAGGGCAAAATTGATGAAATGGTTCTATTTTTCTTGTTTTACTTTTGGAACATATCAGATTCCAGCAAACTTGACGAAACATGGCTATATTCTGATGGTTAAGTGGGCACTAGCCACGATTAACCATAATTAGTATTGGGTGAACCACGTGACTAACCATGAATTAACCAGTATGAACCATTATCAACCAGTATTAACAAGTATTCAATTCTTAACCATTCTTGGGTTTATCAGTGTTAACCACATGATTAACCATTAACATTAAATGTATCCAACCAGTATTAACAGGTATTCAACCATTCTTCACCAGTATTACCCTCAAGTAAATTAATATGACGACCCAGAGGTTGGAAGATGAGTGAAACCACTACAAATTGGTGATTTTCAGGTCTAAGTTTATTGGGTGGTAATCGGAATGATTGATGATTACTTCAAGTACAAACCATTATCAAGAATAGTCAATGGGAAGGATGACATCCATGACATCCCATATATGGAAAATAAAATTCATGTTTGAAAATACCAACCATTCTTTAACCATTGAACATGGCCCATAGAAAGTTTGTTGATTTACCCATTTTCATAGCATGGTGATTTTCTAAGCCGAACCATTGATTGATGTTCCATCATGTAAGTTTATTGGGGTGGTAATCTATGATAGATGATTATGTAAAATTTAAAGTACAATATCAAACCATTCTTTAACCATTGATTGATGTAGAAATTTCTCAGAGCCTAACCATTCTTCAACCATTCACCCCGTAGCAGGCCGCCTGCCCATTGGAGCCCATCTTCGTCGCGACCTCCCCGCCGATGCGGCGGTCCACCCATTCTCTCAGCGAGACCTCAGCAGAAACGGCCGTTGCAAAGGGGCCGCGAAGGATGGCGTGGAAAATGATGGGAAAATGATTTGAAGATGATGGGAAAATGATGGGAAAATGATGGGAAAATGATGGGTAAATGATGGGAACACCACACGATGAAGCGGACTTTTCTAACTCGTTGGTTCGGATGTTTGCATGTTCAAAGAAACCTCTGGCAAACCTTTTTGGGTCGGGACATCCCGAAGATGAGGCAGATGCTGCACAACTTTGGGCCCAAACTCTTTCGCAGGCATATAGGTTTTAAAAATGATGGAACTTCTTACTGCAAATGCTGCAGAAAGCACGCTTTTGAATCCACACAAAGGCCCGGGAAATGACCGTTCTTGAAACCAGCATTTGAGCCAAGTTGCACCCTTGAGAAAGGAGCTCTTGATTTCTTGGTAGGCCTGCCATGGGGGCAGGCCTGTATGGATTCGGCACCATGGCAAGCTTGCTGAAACCCCAGATCGACGCACTCCGTGTTCAACCTATTCAACAAAAAAATGATCACTTGGAATGATCATCTGGTGTTGGGAAAAGCAACTTGAAAAAAGTGAAAGCATGGACCAATTTCATTTGGTTCACCATATTCATTGTGGCTAAATACCCCGTGCCCGTTTGATGGTTGTAAGTTATACCCATCCATCGGTTCTTGGAGAAGACTACCCATGTTTACCTAGTTCTAGTCCCATGTATCTACCCGGAATCTAGCCATTCTTGCTGCGGTTGAGCCAGTTTCTTTCATACCCATCATAACTCCCGGTTGGTGATGGCAGTCCCAATTTTTCATGGCACAAAAAAAAGTTATTGGCATTGGAGATACGCCGCCTTTCTTCCCAACAAGGTTGCCCCGCTGCTCTCCCCCGACCTTGGTCTGCCCTGCAATCATAGAGAGTGCAGGCCTCGAGTCGGTCGAATGAACGGGATCTCAATTACCAGTGGCTTCAATGAATTGATCATGTGGTAAACCCAATGGAACCACTCCCATTTGAGGATCTATCCCACAGGTGTTGATCACCAAAAATGGTGAAGCCCAAGCCGTGGAATCGCCCCCAAAAAAATGGGAAGTTCTTGGGCATGTTGGCTGCCACATCATCGTGAAGATGTGGGAAACCCACGAAACCCAGGACTTCACAAGTGCCAGTAGCTGAAGGATACAATGTTACCCTCTGGTAATTTAACATAGCTATTGAAAATGGCCCATTTATAGATGGTTTCCCTATAAAAAATGGTGATTTTCAATAGTTATGTTAGTTTACCAGAGGGTACATGATGATGAACCCTGATCAACGAGGACTTTTCCGTACTAAAAACCCTGGGTTTTGGCCATGGAAATGCCATGGCAAAACCGAGGTATCGGACCCTTCACCCGCAGGATGCTTCTGGAAGTAGATGTCCAGGCTGTCCAACAGGATCTGCACAAAAAAGCGGGGTTTCACCGCAACCGTGGCGGTTTCATTTTTGGTTGCAAAGTCTGGTAAAGATACTGGTTACTGGACCCCAATGTTTTTTCGACTCAAAGCTAGGATGTAAAACTATGCATTTCAAGTATCCCCTACAGATCTCCATGTTAACATCCAGGATAGGAGATGAACCGTCTGGACATTGGGATCGACCATCGGATGTTTCCTACAGATTGACTGATCTCTTTCGAAGCCGAAGCCGTTGTGTTTTGGGCAGAACCACTATGGCTTGAGACAAATTCTCATAGCTAGACTAGCTAGATTAGCTAGATTGGCATTGTTTCTTGGCCTAGGTAACATCTCCATGATTGATGATGAGGAAGCAGCATGCTTGGCAAAGTACCCAGCATTATTGATGCCGTACGGTACCGAAAGTTGTGAGTAGCCAGTGACTCGCCAGCTTCAGGATGTGCTATCTGCCAGGATGTGGAGGCCCCTTGGTAGTTGATTCAAGTCCCATGGTTGGTTGGATTCGAAAACCCATTCGAATGGTGGTGCACCCGTTTTCCCCATCAAAATATGCCCTGGGCCCAAACGTGGACAGTACACCATGCCATCTGATATCTTAGAACCTCGTTTTCCCCATGTTGAATGTTGCAATCCCTTCTTTTTGATGCCCAAAATACCAACTTTTCGAGCTCCTCGAGCTCCCCGAAATCGCTGATGGGTCCATGGGAGAACCAAAAAAGTGGAGCTAAGGCACTTGTCGAAGCTCCAATTCCTTCTCTAACAACTCCTGGCAGCCGTGGCCGCCATGGCCCCCGGCAGCTCCATGAAAATTCCCCAGATGAATCGGATTCAATACGGCGCTGAACCATCAAAAAAATGGGGACCTCACTGGATTTTACAACTATACAATTATGACATAGGGATATATGATATATATATATATATAAGGAATTGTTGTGCTTATGAACAAGATATGCATGTTTACATCAAACTAGGGTACCCCATTCCGTCCATTGGTTCATCCTATATTCTCCATTAAAATCACCATTTTGAGGGAGTTGTTTGCCCTGTTTCCAGACACAGGCATATATAAGAATCGCTCTGGGACCCTATGGGACATCTATGGTTGTTCTATAAAAAAACGTGAGATATCTGTATGCACACCACCAAAGATGGTTGAAGAAAGAAAGGATAGTAGGACTCAGAGAAAAAAACAAACAATAAAAAATTTGATTATTAAAAAAACAAAAACAAACAAACAATAAGAAATCCCAAAAGAAAAAAAACGGCTTTAATGAGGTTTCCGACGCTGAACAATGCCATTGTCCACCTCGGGAGATGGCTATCCACTAACTTCCACCAGCTGTATCTGACTCAATTACTACACAATTCGCCAGCCTTCAGTATGAGGCCATTCGCCAGGTAGTTACTCTATAAATGTTACTAGAATAGTTACCTAAATTATATAGTAACTATATTTCATATAAATCTTACTTACCCAAATGACGTCATCTCCAACTCTCGACCGCGCTACTTCAGCTGGAAGTTTGTCGAAGAAACTTTGCTTGGACGCCTCGCTAGGACGGCAGGTTTTTGTGCTTCGGAAATGATGATCGGAGCTTCGGAGCTCCCAAACAGAGATGTAAAAATCCTACGATTTTTGAGTGATGGTTCTAATTGTTTCTATCTTTTAGGGAGTTTGTATGCCTGCAAAATCCACGAACTCCAGCATTTCAATCCCTCCAACAGAATTGGTTCAGATGGAAATATGACGGGAAAAACTCACGGTGTGATCCTCATTTCACCATGGTTTCCTCGATGCTCAGGGTTAGTCCATTGGAGACACAGCTGAATTCAATCGCCTTCAAACTCGAACCGACATGTCGGCAGCCTACCTGCGACAAGCCTACCAAGGGAGACCTATGGACCAAAAAAAATTGGTCTGTTTCCATTTCCTGGGTTCAATCATTTTGACCCGCACAAAAAAATTGCCCAGATGGATTCCCAAAGGGTATGTATAAGCGGTTCAATCCCGTTCTTGTTGCTCAAAAAATGTCAGTACCTGAAATGTTTTTTATGGGCCATCTCCGAAATCATTCAAAATGGGGGTAGCGTTGGCTCAAACCCGAGCCAACCAAGCGGATCATTGGAAATTGTTAGTGGCACCTCATCCCGGTGCTGGGGTTCCTTTCTCTCCTTGTCGCGCCTGCGTTCCTGGACACAAAGCATGGCTGTTGCTGGATGTTGCTGATATTTACTGTGATGTAACCACCTATGGATACCTATGGAGGTGATTCAACATCCAGAAATCTTGCATTTTAACCATCCAAAGTGGCTCATGATTGAATACGTCACATAGAACCAGCGTTTTTCCAACGTCCCATATAACCAGCGTTATTCTATGGTGAGGATGGCTAGGGTTCGGGCGCTATCATTTGCCTAAAGGGCGCTTCAGACAAGTCTGCAACCCATCTGGGTCTTTGCCACGTTTAGTCATTACCTGAAAGTGAACGTCATGTGCGCCATGGTCAAAAGATATGTGGTATGGTCATCCATCCCAGAATTGGAATCCACACATAATTAATTGTGGTATGTAAATCTTTATGAAGATTGGCTAATGACCATCTCCCAACATGGGTAGTCATACTCCAACTCTTGCATTTGGCTATATATAGATACATATATATATATTACATATAGATACATATATATATATTACATATAGATACATATTATATATATATTACATATATATATATTACATATATATATATATATATTACATATATATATATATATTACATATATATATATATTACATATATATATATATTATATATATATATTACATATATATATGTATTATATATATTACATATATATATTACATACATATATATATATATGTAATATATATATATATGTGATAACATATGAATTAGATATGCCAGTGTATCCCCATGAATATCCCTCCCCATCTAAGTTATAATCCACCTTGACCAAGGCACCTGTCGATTGGAACGCTCGTTTCGCTCGGAGCCACCGGAAGCCACCCTGGGTCATGGGAAATCCACCTCTTTGTTCATAGGAATAACCTCTGGTAATGACTAACAGTTTGCGAACTTGAAAATGGCCCATAGAAAGTTCGTTGATTGACCTATTGAAGATGGTGATTTTCCAGTTCGCTGTGTTAGTTTACCAGGGAGGTTTACCAGAGGGTAAGCTTATTTTTCAGGGAAATCCAATCCAAAATGTTCATAGGAAGAATGGTGAAGCGAACGGGATGGAATGGGGTATATTTCCAGACAAACCCACAAACGAACAGGACAAATGGGGGGGAAGATTGCAATAAATGTGGTGGTTTTTCTGCCATCATTTTGGAGATTTTCGGGCATTGGACAAGCCACAAGTGAGTGGCTGAAAGATACATCCTTGGGTAGTTGATCATTTCAGCCATGTCCAAATGAACCGCCCCTTTTAAGGAATAGATGCAAGGCATCTATACTTGCTATTAATCATTCAATTGATCATTGATCCATCAATCTCAATCTTGACAAACATCCGAATCGTTACCTCCTTCACCCGTTGGTTTTGCTTTTGACAGTCCAACTTCGCTCCAAGAACTCAGCCGCGAAAACCCATCAACGTCATCGACTTGGGCGTCCGTGCATGTGCGGCATCGGCGCAGGGATGGGGGGCGCCGAGTGGAGCGAATGGGGTGGCCTCAGAGCACTAGAAATGGAGATATCTCTGTGTTTATCCCGCGGCCATGGCGGGTCATGGCTTTAGAAACTTTAGTATCAAACTCCAATTGCGGGCTAACGATATCGACAAATAACCATTAAAAAAAAAAACATAAAGCTGGTTGATGATTGGGTAGATGTTTTTGAGCCATAGCCATAAGAGCCTTATTAATCATCAAGAAACGAAGATATAACCACTGAGAAAGTTTCACGTTTACTTAGACTTTCCCACCGTCATTCGGGAATATAGAGCCATCACCACAAGAAGGATAATGCCCTTTATCATATTATCAAACATTTACGTTTCGATTGTCTAATCATCTATATAATCAGCAAAAAGGGGAAAGAAGTAGTCCCTTGATATTTCCCTTGATGTTAGCATCACCGACCACGGCCGAACAGGGCATCAACAGGCCATGGATTGAAAGCTTAATTTTACGCAAAATCAAACAAAAATGCTCAACAAATGTCAACAGTTTATCGGTGAGATATCCTCATCATGAATATACTGCCCTGTCCCGTCCCAAGTTGTTGTAAGTCTTCATCTCCATGTTTGAAGGTTGATAAAGTTGATGTCAAGTTTGATACTGTAGACGATTGTGTCTTCCATTTTTTTCTCACAAGAACATGTGGACACACGTTGCCATCCTGCAACACTTATCTTTTTTGATCTTTTCTGCAGGCCAAAATCTGTGCCACTTTTTGTACTTTGAAATCTCAACCCGAAGATTGATGTAGTTTCTGATGTCAAAATCCCAACATCACCGGATGTCTTATCCAAAAAACGCAACCGTAAACTCCCAAGATTTGCTGAGAAATCGTTCATTTCTTGTAGTTTCTTCTTTTCAAACGATTTTTCAAAGTCCAAAGATCTCCAAAATCCCCATTTCTGCACCGTAAATCCCCATATTTTGCCCAGTTTTGGCCTCTCTGCCAGGAAACGGTCTGGCGGGTGCCGGCCATATGCCAGGTGGCTTCCGGGCTTGCAGCAGGGCCACCTGGAAAAAACTGCGGGAAAATGGTGCTTGAGCTGTCAAAAATGATGGAAAAAGTATGAAAAAGTGATGATCTTACCATCAAGTACCATCAAATACCATCCAGAATTGCCATGGTCATGTTTCAAACAACCCCAAATCCATTCCTCCGAGCTCCCAAACTCGCTCGGCCACCACCGGCCGCGCGGCGGGAGTTAGATGAATCTCCTGTCGGGGAGCCAAAAAAACAATGGACCAACCGGGGGGAAAAAAAAAGTGCCACCAAAATCCACCAAACACCTGATGATCTACCCCAAATGTTGCAATTTACCGAACATTTGGTCCAACTTCCATCTGAATTGGTGAAGAATTTCCTTTTTCGTGGGTCGCCAAGCGAAGATTGGCCAAATCCAATCAATCAAGACTGCATTCTGTCTCGCAGGATGCTCCGCCAGACGCAAGATGCAACAAATAATAATAATCATCATCATCATCATCACCGTCGTCATTGTCATTGTCATTGTCATTGTCATTGTCATCACCATCACCATCACCATCAAATGAAATTCATCTTCCCTCAACTATAGCCTATTGTACAACGGTTGAATAAACATGGCTAGTTCATAATCCCGAAGAAATTACCAGTAGGTCATTATCCCCCAACAAATAAACCACTCAATAGCATATCACCGGTTTTTCATGGTTCACTTTCCATGTTTCTTGATTCAATCACCAATTCACCTAGTTCACTTCCCATGTGTTTGCCTAAACAACCAGTCTTCCACATGGTTTCCACCGTTCACCTGGCGATTTTTGGCGAATTCCCAAAGAAACTGAGCTTCCAGGCCAACTCCCCCCGTCCAGCAGGGTCCGGTCTCAGGATCCTCAGATCTTCTGTAAAGCCGGGGAATATAATGAAAGATTGGTGTTCTTGGTTTACCTACATTTTTTTTTGAGAAATCTCTGAGTCATAAAAAAAGAGGGTCACAATATCGTGAGGGATCCCATTCAAGAATAAACCTACAGATCTTGACCCAATCAGATACAGATGTTCATCTTTCATTGTAGAAGGTGGGAAGTACCACTTCCTAAAAAGCAAATGACTGATACTAAAAATAAGCAAATCTATCAGTTGGGGAGTCTTACATTTGAGGCAAACCCGGTTGTATCTTCACGAATCTGTGGATAGTTTGATCCCAATTTGACTCCCAAAGGCATCCCGTCCCCCTAGTATTTAATACTCCCTATTTCGGAAACCCTGGCAGTGGATCTCTTCATTTGAGGCTCCTGAAAATCGATGGGATGTTTTTGGGACATCAGGGGATGGGATGAACGATGGGTTTCTGGGTGAATCATTAAACCCTGATGAGTTTTTCGGGTTATCTCGCGATGTTTAAACCCACGATTTTATCCATAGTTTAACCATCTAAAATCCACGAAATCAGCATAAAATCCCATGATATTCCCATAAATGCCATAACCTCCTTGGCTAAAAATGATTTACTCAAAGCCCCAAAACCTTCCTGGGCTTCCAGTCAGCTCTCCGCCGATACGTCGTTCAATCCAATCCTTGAAATTGACGGCCTCAGAGGTACAGCTGAACCACTTATTGCAACGTGAGGAATAGCACATACACTCAAACGAGGAATGCCGTTCTTGTCAATTCCCTGTTTTTACAGGGTATTGGGAAGCAATATGAAGCAATTGCAGACCTGCAATTTATTTCGGTCGAAATCAAAAACACACGTCTGGGTCCCCTGGCATGTGAAGCAAACCTCAGATAGGTTTCTAAAAGTAGCAAGCAGAATCTGATTCAAACTTGTACATCTTGCACCAAACGGGCTAAGCCACACTTCGTCCTCAAAAACAGGATGCTCTGATCCAAAATTTGACCTATCCCCAGTGCCTTTTTCAGTCTGCAACTGTCTTCCATACGCGACTGTGACCGCTTTCCTCCGCAGGGCTGTGACATCTTGAGGCTGTGACATCCCTCTCTTCGCCTTGACAGCTGGAGCGAGGGGATGTGTGGATGCCATGGTCTCAAAATTCCTCAATTCTCCGGAAAGGGTATGGATACCCACAGCATTTCACAACACTTGTAGCTGCAAAATGCGGTTGTCCAGCACCAGGATATAGCATCCTTCTCCTTCAAATCCCATGATTTATCATCATTTAAAAACGATACTGCATGAATATTCCATTTAGTTTTCCATTCATAGTAAGCTACTAGAAACAAACTAGGTTGCTGTAGACACCCAATCGGACAAGCGATATGAGCTCAGCCATCAGTCACCCAACCTCTGCCACCGCAGGATTTTGGGCGCAACGCTGCAGGGTGGCCAGCTCCTGGCAGAGATCCAAGGCCAGTTGCTCCCAATTTGGGGGATTGGTCAAAACCTACGAAATTACCATATTTGGGGAATAACCATCCATTAACCAGCTATGACTGAGGCTACCTAGTTTGACCCATAAGCATATAGTAATCAATGATCCTTCATGGTTAAACCCCAATCCTGATGTTTTTTTTACCTGGTGATTTGACATATCTATGACAGAATACATTTTTTTAGTAGGAATATACATCATCATAAATCATCTAAGCCATGTTCCATAGCTATGTTGAAGAACCAGAGGGTAACTGATTTAAGAACATCAAGCTGATTGCAAGAGCGACCATCAAGCTGTACCTGTCCTGTGCGCTCCAGCCGGCGAGGAAATCAAAGATGGCCATTCTGAGCCTCAGCTGTGGTAGTAGTTTTCTTGGTCAAAACCCTAGAACCAACTGTTGAACAAGATAGCAAATGTGTTCATAACTCCCATGGGCCATGAATGGAAACATAGTTCCGCAAGTTGTCCTTTTGTTTCCCTTTTTGAAACCAACACATGCTGGGCCACATTCGGCCACATGATTTGAGAATTCCCAAGATCTGGGAGGGCGACTTTTCCTCCTCCGGCAAGAAGGAGTCCTCTCAGAGTGTGGTGAACTACCAGGAACTGAGTCTGAATGATCCCGACCCTCAGCATCAAAGCTGCGACAAGGCTCACCCCTTTGTATCCTTTTGTGCTACATGGCGACTGGGTGTTGGTCACCAAAATGTGCGTTTGTCTGGAAATGTGGTACTGTACCCCAAATCCATCAAAATTGACTATTTTTGGTGGCATACCCTATATTCAAACATTGCCATATCCACTATTCATTAGTTAATTACCAATGTTTCATTGTTAAATCACCCTTCAACCTATGATTTCCTATGACCCGTGGTTGCCCCTGCCTTGGGCAGCATCCGGAAGAACTCCTCGCTACGGTCCTTCTCGCGGTTTCTACTCTCCTGGACGCATCGTGACCTATGGATGAATAACGATGAATATGGATACCCTTAGCTATTTGTCTCCCTCCTAACCACTGGATTTTTGCACAATAAAGGGGCTGAATTCACCATTGCTTCGCCTCCCAGCCGTATTGAGAACGTCGGCCTCATCGTTGTCACTCTCATCCTCATCCTCATCAATCCTTATCTTCATCCTCAAGCTAATCCTCATCCCTCATCCATTATCTTCATCATCGTCGTCATCGTCATCATCATCATCATCATCATCATCATCACCATCATCATCATCATCACCATCATCATCATCATCATCTTTGTCGTCCTCCTCCTCAAGATCGAGGATGGTCATAGGAATCAAAAGCAGAAGCGACATCACCAATACTGGCAAAAACAACAGCAACATAGCAATAAGAAGAATGGTCTTTGAGGAATGGTACATCAATGATACTCATGACAATCGCGATAGAAACAAGCTGCTGGATGCTCATCCCATTTTCATGGTGCCATAGGCATGACTGTGATAATCCCATTGAACCACCTACAGTACTTTTAAGATGTGAATCACACATCATCCAATATAATCCAACGTGACATAGCCATATATATATATATATATGTATAATCATATATGTGTGTGTGTGAATATATATATATACATACATATATAATCATATATATATATAATCATATATATATATCATCATATATAAACATATATAAACATATATAAATATAGTACATTATATATTATACACACATAAACCATCAACCACAAGGGATCCGCAAAGGCACCTGTCTCGGCAGGGGCTCAGACCCCATCAGCCGACAGACGCGCTGCCCGGCCGCATCGGTTTCCACGGCCACCTTTCTAGTGGCAAAAACATGGCCTTACCAATGGTTGGTTCAGGGTTTTTCCTTGGAAAATGGAAATTCAAGTGTTTTTCTTGGACAATTGAGGGTTTACCATGGTTGACTGGCCCAGAAACACCCGAACCAACCGATTTTGGTTTACAAAAACCAGCTAAAAAAGGGCCGGGCGGCCAGGTTAGATGTGTCAGACGTGCGTGCAATGTACCAATTGAGGTATATATAAATGGAGCCAATTGAGCTTTGGGGAGGAATATCTTGACTAACCACCCATGTGCTGAAAAACCAACAAAACTGGGGAGTTTTTGACCAGCAGAAATGACCATGTCAGCTACCAAACAGGATCTCAACCAGAACATTGGGAACTTGCAGAAGTACCCGATCTGACCCACAAAAACGGGACAAAAAAACGGTCGGAACTGAGACCATTCTTCACCGAGGCTTCGATTGTTGAGGATCTTGAGCCAGAACTTGGGGATGTAAACCCTAAAAATAGCAGCAAAACTGGGGTATTTTAACATACCCATAAAAACCCATAAATTGGTGTTAACCCAACATAATTTGGTTAAGCCGCAAAAACAACAGATGATCTTCACCAACAAAACTGGGAGGCAACAGAACCAAGGAATTTGCCGAGTAAAGCAGCAAAAATGAGCGTTCAACCAACAAAAACTGGCATTCTCACCAATAAGGATCAAAACAACAGAATGCGAACCAAACTGGAAAAAAATGGCAAACCATGCGGGGTACATAATCCAGGGTTCTGTACTCCATATCTAAAAACATGTGTGCTTCAGCTTCAAGGATGATGATTTAACCAATGACAGCTGGCAAAGCCACAGGACTGCGATTTCGCTGTTGGGACACCTTCCTGTCAAATCTGTCAACCAATGTATGCGCATATGCTGTTGTGGGTGCACGACTAATGGATTCCCCTGTAATTGGAGGGAGTCATGCTCCAAGTGCAAAATGGATGTCCCAGCTTTAGGTCACATTTCCTTAGGGTGTTTGCGGGCGAAGATGTATGTCTGTTCTGGAGAAATAGGACGGCTTGTTGGGCATACCATTGAATATTGTTGACCATCATTCACCACACTTTCCTATTGATTCATCTTTTTCATCATCCAGCGGTGCGAGAAAGTCAGAGTTGTTTGGTGCTTTAAGATTCCCAAGTTCCAATTGAGCTATGCAAAATGTCCCTATTGTTGGTTGATACCGGGGTCCCGGTAAGTGTCCCCGCTATAAGATGAATATACAGTACAATTCCCAATGATCAAGCTAGTATATAACCCCCTGTAGTAACCAATCAACATTGGTAATGTGGAAAATGCCCTTTGAAACATATGTTTAAAAAGAAAAACATTACAGTAATCAACCATTTGGTGGTCATCAATCATCATCCCAAATAGAGGTATACCTTAGCAGGGTTTCAAAGGCTTTCACAATAGAGCCCGTCTTGGACTGGCCTGCGCATACGCATACATAAACGGCTTCAAATACGCAAACAAAACGCATATTCCCGACATATCCAGAAATTGCGGCTACTAGCTGTTTTCTTTATGTTTCTGTTTGCGTTTCTTTTACGTAAGCGATAAAATAAGGCCTTATTTGCCCAAAATAAGGTCTGATTTTTCTCCCGACATAAATAAAACATAAACCATATACACGTGTACAAACACAAACGTTACAAAATGTGTTTGTGTTCTCATTTGCGTTTTGTTTATGTTTTCTATACGTGCGTTCCAAAATAAGGCCTTATTTTGCGTGATTTGCACAAAATAAGGTCTTATTTTTCCTCCGACATAAAAAAACCCATAAATTCGCAAAAGTATACATAAGTAAAACATAAACACAACGCAACCCAGTCCCAAAATACGTTAATATGTCACATGTATTTCGCATATGTTTCACATATATTTCACATACGGCTCACATATGTGTTCACTTGCGCTGCACATACGCTTCACATACGCATCACATACGTTCCACCAGCGTAAAAATCTATGTTTCATATGCGTTTTACATATGTTTTGCATGCGCGGCCACTTAGGATATGTATACGTACCCCCTCGTCAGCTCCTATAGACAGAAGCCCTGGAGGCTTTTGGGATTCAGCTAAGGTATACCCGACAATAAGCCTCTATTGGGGATGATTGATTATTGGCTTTACCACATTTTTTACCCATTATTATATATATTATATATATCATATATCATATATATATATATATATCATATATCATATATATCATATATCCGACTCTATTGGTGTCCAATTCAGTGGAAGTGATCATAATAAACCTCAATAAACCTTCCATTTTCATCCCCTCCATCCCCTCCATCCCCTCCATCCCCTTCGGACGAACTCCCGGACTCCGCACCTCAGCCCCGATGCGACGTTCGATCCAGTCCTCCAGCTTGATGGCAGCAGGTAGAAGGACCTGCTGGGCGAATTTATCGTTCAAATGGGAGGCCCGGAAAAAAAAAAAAAAAAACATCCAGAAATGGTGGTTTTGGCATTGGAATTTATGGGTGCCCCATTTTTGAAGAAACCCCCAAGAATTCGGCAAAAGGACTTGGTATCTTAGAAAAAGGAGTTAGCAATAGCTCACCAAAGCTCTTCGCAGGTTCTATAGCTGTTTTTTTTCTCAGTAAATCTGGATGAAGTAAATCCATATATGTTCCCACGATAGGAAGATCTAAGGTCCTCAATGATCCTTGTGGAAAAATCACCCAGCACCACCTATCCATGGGAAATTTTGAGGAAAAAACCATTGCATCCAATATTAAAAGAACATGGTTTCCCCATGTTAGTGTGTCCAAAAGTGTGGATACCCCCTTTTATTCTTAAAAATTCGGAAAACGATGATAAATCAATGGATTTGGAGGTACCCTATGTTCATGACCCACGAAAAAAAAAAAAAAAACGTGTTTTCCTGGGCCGTAAAAAAAAAATGACCCATCCACATAGTTGAATGGCCATTTCCCCTGAGATAAAATACCACCAAACAAAACCTCGGCGGAATGTTTTGGATCTATTCATGATTTGGGGGCCCACATTGGGGTGTTCAAAAGTATATAAATTGCTTACAAATAGTTTTGTATATATATATATAAATATTACATTACATAGATTACATAGATATATGTTGTATTCCCATATTTTGGTATCCCCATGTTAGTTATTTTTTCACCTCGCCGGTCCTGCACCTTGGTGCACTTCAACACACTGGGCAGTCTCTTCACCTGAACCGAGCGACGAGAGGCGTTGCCGTGAGAATTGGTGACGTACAGCTGTGTTCCAATATATACGTAATCCAATGATTAATCTATGATGAATTATGTGTAATTATGTGTTACTATATAACTATGATTAATTATGTATTTTATATGATTAGAATATACGTAGTTATGATTAACTATGTATGCATATGTGCATGCATCTATGATTATGTATGATTAAATTATGAATAGTATCTGTATAGTATCTCTAGAACTCGTGTTTCAACCCCCAAGTTCCACGGATCCAAAAAATTATCCGCCTGCGCCAAGGTTTCGGGAGCCTTCTCGCAGGCCTCAGTGAACAAATCATGGAAATCATACCGGAGTATGTGTGGTATATACATATATAATATCTATGCGCATATATATATATACACATATATGTATATATATATATACGTATATTTGTATGTATATATATATATTGTATATATATATATATATACGTATTGTATATATATATATATTTATATATATATATATACACTATAAACTCCCAGAAAGATATAGAAAAGTGAAATCCCAGTAAAATAGTGATAAATATGACCTTTCGAAATCTTTTTGGGCCACTACTTCCTTCTTCCTTGGGATTCCACCAGCCATAGGAATTTGACCAATGACAATGGGTGATTTACCCAAATCTACAATTTTTACGGAGGAAATTCATCAAAAACCATGGGAAAAGACTAGGGGTTGTCCCATGTTGTCCCCTTATTTTCAGACAAGGCTGTGGGTTATGGGTGAGTAGTGGTGCCAATGGGTCCACGGTCGACTTGGATGTGTTTTCTGTAATTTCTGTATCTATATAGAAACATCTGACATCTGATTGGTTTAGTGTGGCTTAGTATTTTTTTGTATGCAGGATTTGGATGGTTTTCGTATCTTTAGAATTCAAAATGTGATCATTTGGTGGTGTCAGCTATTTTGAATGATTCTCAAGGATTCCCATACGAAGAAAAGGATGGGACTGGCTTAAAAATGTCCACAAACATCATGCATCTCAGAGCACGAAAAACATAATGGGAACATCATGTCAGTATCACAAGGAGAGTGTCTGGTAATTTTTATGGGACCCAACAACGAAAGTCAAAACAAATTAGAGATTAACCTACCAAAATGGAGGGCAAGCCCATAGAAAAAAAAAAAAAGAATTCTTGGGGGGATCCAACAAACATTGTTTGTAAATAGCAAGGTCCTCAACAAAAAACGTCCCTCGCGTTTGAAGATGCACCGGCTCTGGGTGACCTACGCTGACGATCGCTTCTCTTAGATCCTCCTATGCGCCAAATCATAGGGTCACAGGGTCCCTGGGTCCAAGTTGTGGCCGAAAAGGCACAGATCGGTTAACTTTCAACAGACTTTCGGAAGATTACCATTTACACCTCTGAAAGACCCATTTACACCTCTGAAGAACTTTGATCACCATTCACCCCTCAGAAGAACTTTGGATTGGCGAGAAGAAACAGTAATAACAAGAACTACGGTAGCCCTTTTTAGACGTGTGCTCAATCTGGCTCTACATTTCCATAAGTCAAGTCACATATCTTGGAGAGGGGATGCGTCATCTCGCAGCAACGGTTCAAAGAACGAGTAGCTCCGGTTTTGACCAAGAATCTCTGGGAAACTGCAATGGAATTGTAAGGCCTCAACTGTATGAATTGCATTGAATTGGAGGATTGTGTTTTCCTGTGCAGATCGAGGAAGATGCGAAAAAAATGAATGCCTCCCGGCAAAAGTGATGTGTGTTCCTAATAAATCCCTCATATGATGTGAGAATTTGAGTATGCTTTCCTATACTCCCACGTCCTCCTCTTGCAGAAACTGATCCGCAGGCAGTCTGCTTAGAAAGGACTGGCAAAGCATGCTTTCGCTGGGAAAAGGTGCTGAATCCGATTCTCAAATAATGGTAGATTGACTTTCTATCTGACTTTTCGCAGCTTCCAGCCTCCTGAGTCAAACATTTTACCCACATGGCTCTGCTGTGAGGATCATCGTCATCTCACCCTGGCGATTCACTGGCCTGCAAGGCTGGATCGGGCTCCTGTCAGGTCGCTGGGCGCCACTCCGAATGATCAACCACCGGATTTTGGGCACCCTGATTTTCAACAAATACATTTGAGCCTCGCAAGGGGAGGCTTCAAGTTGTCAACTTCTGCTGGATCGTTAGGAAACTGTGCGGTAAAAAAATGGCACGGAAATCATTCAAACCTCTCTAGGTTGGTTTCTTGGGAAACTGAGGTGTTCTTTTCAGAACCTTATGAACAACTCATACAACAAAACAAATGGACTAGGTGTCCCTGACATTTAGCGCAGCGACGAGAGTTTCCGAAGCCAACCCAGGAGGCGTCCCACCTTCTCTCGAGCGTTCCTGGCAGGTCGCAAGACCACCTGCATCGCAAGGCATGTGGGGAAGGTTTATACCACCCATTGATGGTGATTTTGAGGATGGTTTATTGGGTTTACCACATTACTATGGTTGCTATGTGTTACTAGCATGTCAAGGTCTTGGAAGCGATACTCTTCGATATGTCTGCCAATTTTCGGGTCACTTTTCTTCTTTGAGCATTTGGTTTCCATCTTGACAGGTTCTTGGCTCAAGGTTCCACATTCCAGGAACCCATGAATCCTAAACTTCAAGTCAGGTGGAATCCATCAAATTCTCTCAGGTCCAAGAGCTTTGAATCAATGCTGTCCAGGGGTCCGAGCTTTATTCAGGTTCAGCTTACACTTGGGGCGGACATTGCGAGGACTTTTCCTTTATCCAGGGCCATACACTTGTTACACATCGCCACATCGCCTTCTCCCAGCTCCTTTCGGATGTGCGAACTTGGCCAAGATCTGGAGGTATCAGAAGACGCCTGCTTGACGTCTTTCACTTCGATTCCAATGTCTTGGGTCTTCTACATGGAGACGACCACGTTCCAAGGTGACTACTTCTCGCCCAAAAAGTTGTATCCAGCAACGCTGACTTGCGCAGCATCAAATGGCCGGTGACTTCCATCACAGTTCTTGACGGTCCACGATTATGGGGAGGCAGTAACTCAGTAGTCCGTCTGGCTATGGTTCTCTCAGTAGCATAGACACCAAAACCGCCCGAAACCATCCAAGGCCCAGCACCTTGGGATCAGCTGGTGATCGAAACGACGCGATCACCGGGACGAAAGCCCTTGTGACCTGTCTCTCGAACGTCAATGGCAAAAGCCCATATTTGGCTTCTAGGCTCTTCATGTTCAAGTTCGGCATGTAGGTATCGGCAGCCAGGAGCCTCCAAATTACGGCCTTTGCTCGGCTGAGCAGTTTCCATAGTAGAAAGCCAAGTTTCTCTACGGGTGGATCTACGAAAAGCCAAACAATCGAAGATGCCTTGAGCCAAGACATTTGCCTTTTTTCATAATGTTCAAAGTAGAATCAGCATATATCATACACTCAACACATATGGTTTTCGACCCTGCCAGCATCACTAGCTTCCAAAGGTGCCCGAGTTGGCGGAACACTGTGCCTGATACCTTCCAACAATTAATACTCTGCTAGTTTCAGTGCCCCAGGCTAAGTTGGTAAACCTAACTCCAACAACTATGGATGTTATATGGATGTTTATGGTAGATCGGTAGATATATCAATATTTCATGGGATTATAGCCCATGTTTATGGATGTTTATGGTAGCATTATGGTAGCTATATCCTCAGTTGGGCTCAACCGACATCACTTTTCGCTGAGACCCCACTGGGGATGCTACCAGGCCCGCGTCATCGGTGCCCAACTCCACTTCGCCGGGCATCCGACTGGCGAAGTCACGAACTCGTCGTCATTTTTTCCAGGTCACGAGTTAAGCACTGGAACCAATCGGGAAGATGTGGAATATGTGAATTTTTTTAAGGGTTATCCTTTCTTTTTCCAGAATTTTTGATGTTTGGAGAACCCCAAAAATTCTGGAAAATTAGGATTCACACATCAAGAATTGTGAAACATGGTGGTTAACCATCAAAACATATCAAAACTTTCGACTTAACCCTGGATGATGATCCACCAAAATCGGTGATTTTCCAGCCCCCGATGAATGTCAAAGATATATACAGTAATTTGAGGTGGACTTCAGAAAACACACTGAAATTTCGCACAGTTTTTCTTAGGGAATCATATTCGGGGATATATCAATTGGAGATGTCTATGTGAGTCTCCCGCGCCCCCCTCACCGGGAATCGTTTGCACATCCCCAGATCTCACCAGTCGCAAGACTGGGCCGCCCCACCACTCAACCCATTCCTGCAAGGAGACCACATTTCCTGGCCTCAGCAGCTAAATCCCTGATGAAATCCCCCCTTTTTTGGCTGGTTAGTTGTCTTCTAAATTTGCTTCGTTAACATCTTAAAACCATTTTGAGTTCATCCAAAATCAACAAAAATCGCTGGATCGTCTGATGTCTGGTGTTTTCTGATCCCGAAACAGCGCTGTTTTTTTTCAGCGACTCCTCCGCCTCCAGAATGGTCCAGCCAGGTTTGATTGGAGGGTATTCCATGAAAGAATCTTCCGGTGTCCATCAATAGTAACCTACCCAATGTATACTCTCTGGTAATGACTACAGTTTGCGAACTTGAACATGGCCCAAAAAAAAAAGTTCGTTGATTTACCTAAGATGGTGATGTTCCAGTTCGCTGCCAGGTGTGATGCCACATCCAGTGACAGGGGAGCAGCTTCCCACTGGGGCCCTTTCGGAAGGAGGTTTGCCGCCTGAGAGGTCGAAAAAACTGAAAACCCTGGTAGTTCACCAGAGGCTTCAGAGGGCTTCAAAATGCTATAAATATGTTGAATCAGATTGGGATGGGTCAAGACATTGAGGAAATAGGTTTTTATGACAAATGGATGCTGAAATAGCTGCTATGGTAAATAGTATTGTACTTAGCTGGGATTTATGGATGTTCATCCCCGAAAAATCCATTTGTCAAAGTGGTAGTGACCAAAAAAAAACAAACAGATAAAATCAGAGGGACAGATAGACACAGATAGACATAGACAAACAGATTGATTCATATCGATACATCGGTAGATTGGTAGATCGATAGACAGATAGACCGGTAGAACGACAAATAAACTGGCAGAAAGACAGCTAGACAAACAGGTGGATGAACAGGTAGATAGGTAGATAGCCGGATAGACAGGTAGACAGGCAAATAGTTGGGTAGACAGGTAGATAGACAAGTAAATGATACAAACATAGATCGATAGATCAATAGATCGATAGATCGATAGATCGATCGATCGATAGATAGATAGATAGCTAGGTAGGTAGATAGATAGATAAATAGATAGGTAGATAGATAGATGGATAGATGGATATATGGATAGATGGATAGATGGATAGATGGATAGATGGATAGATGGATAGATGGATAGATGGATAGATGAATAGATGGGTAGATGGATAGATGGGCAGATGGATAGATGAGTAGATGGATAGATGGATAGATGCATAGATGGACAGATGGATAAATTAGATCGATACATTAGATAGATAAATTCGATAGAGGTGTATATAGAGATAGATAGAGACAGCTAGGGATAGATAAGGATAGATAGGGATAGATAGAGATGGATAGAGATAGATAGAGGTAGATTGAGAGAGAGAGAGATAGATAGATAGATAGATAGATAGATAGATGGATGGATGGATAGATAGATAGATGGATAGAATAGGATAGGATAGGATAGGATAGAATAGGATAGCATAGAGACAGAAACAGAGACAGAGACAGAGATAGAGACAGAGATAGAGATAGAGACAGAGATAGAGACAGAGATAGAGACAGAGATAGAGACAGAGATAGAGATAGAGACAGAGACGAGATAGAGATAGAAATAGAAATAGAAATATAAATAGACAAACAAATAGCGAAAATAAAATTGCTTTGCGATTTGTGACCCACAGCTCCGAATATATGTTCTTGAGAGATTGAAGAACGCAGCAGTCATCGGGTTTCCCACATCCTTCAAACATACCATGAAATGGATGACCTGGTCCCCAAAAATGGAGAAAACACCGCGGCTGGTAGCAGCTGTGTCATATCAATATTCCCCCGGTCAGTGATTGATATTGATTAGTTTGAGAATGGGGTGCACCAAAATCCATGAAAAGCATCTCATAATTTTCCCTCAAGTGGTCGCGAATTTGGCCAAATCACCCATTTAAGACCGGCCTTCTCTTACTTCCGTTCATCATCAATAAGCATCAGTGAAAATCATTCTTAATCATAAGCCACAAGTAAGTAATCCGTGAAAATCATCATATTCCAATATAATCATAGGTGTTTGGTTTCCATTCGAAAAATGCTATATCCCCAGATATCCCCAGATTTTCGTCCCGTGAATCTTAGGGCTCCACCGTTCGAGCGGCGTCCCGGAGGTGCCCTCTTAACGTCTCCTGCGACAAAAATGGGGCCATGGGGAGATGTTTCATCCTGAAAAAAAGGCTGAAGAATGGAGCATTTAACCATCAAAGCTGGTGGCGAAGATGAAAAACATAGTGAAAGAACGACATTTAAGCATCAAAACTTGTGGAAAATGGAGGTTTCACCATCAAAGGATGATGAGAAATGGATGGCTCGGACAGACGAAATTGTTTCGCCTTCGAAAATTCTGGTTTCATCATCAAAAAATGATGAAGCATGGTGCTTTCACCATCAAAATGTATGGAAAACATATGTTAAACTGTTAAACAGTTGAACAAAAAAAATGGTGAAATAACCATCCAAAATGCAAAAAATGGGAAGCCTCAAAATTTGAAGTTTAATTTCATCACCAAATATGATTGTCAAAGGGTTGGTTGGGAAAATCTGCAGGAAACTGGCTGGTTTTTAGCCCCAAAGTG